TTTAGATTTTTTAAAAAACAAATGAAGAAAGGCACGTTCTTTTTAATTTTGCAAAATGTACTTGCTAACCGCTTGAAAGGTCCTCCCTGATGTCAATTTTTTAAAATTTAACTTTCTAGTTTTCAAATGTCTAAAGATTTTCGCATTCTTACTTGAGCACTTTGCATTAAAAAAAAAAGTAACTGAAAACAACTGTTGTTGAGACGTTTCATTCCGAATCTGCTACGGTTCTCAACCTGTGGGTCCCCAGATGTTGTTGGACTACAACTCCCATCATCCCTAGCTAGCAAGACCAGACCCACAAGTTGAGAACCGCTGTCAGATAAACAGAGCTGGACAGAGGATGTTGACAGGTGGGTGTCCTGCCCCACCACCTGTGGGACACGGGTGGCGCTGTGGTCTAAACCACTGAGCCTCTTGGGCTTGCCAATCAGAAGGTGGGTGGTTCGAATCCCCACGACGGGGTGAGCTCCCATTGCTCTGTCCCTGCTCCTGCCAACCAAGCAGTTCAAAAGCACACCAGTGCAAGTAGATAAATAGGTACCAGTGCAGGGGGAATGGAAATGGCTTTTCCATGCGCTCTGGTTTCTGTCACGGTGTCCCGTTGCACCAGAAGCGGTTTAGTCATGCTGGCCACATGACCCAGAAAGCTGTCTGTGGACAAACGCCGGCTCCCTCAGCCTGAAAGCAAGATGAGTGCCACAGCCCCATAGTCGCCTTTGACTGGACTTAACCGTCCAGGGGTCCTTTACCTTTCACCTTTACCTGCCCCACCAACATAAATCCTGACAACACCCATGCTAGGGGAGCTGTTTGTAAGCAACATCAGGAACGATGGAGCAAATGTGCAAATTGAGTAGACTCTGTAGAAACATTTGTCACTCTTAACTGTGCTTGGTAAAACTTCTAATATAGTGTAGCTACTTGAGTATCAGACACTGACTGGCTTGCATAGGCAGAAATGATCCTCTCCAATAGCTGTTGCAATGCCCTGCCTGATTTAGTTGGCCCTTTGCCGCAAATTAAGGCTGCAGTCCCATGCAACGGGAAGTAATTTACCTGTAAGTAAGCACCATTGAGGGACGTGGGTGGCGCTGTGGGTTAAACCACAGAGCCTAGGACTTGCCGATCAGAAGGTCGGCGGTTTGAATCCCTGCGACGGGGTGAGCTCCCATTGCTCGGTCCCTGCTCCTGCCAACCTAGCAGTTCGAAAGCACGTCAAAGTGCAAGTAGATAAATAGGTACCGCTCCAGTGGGAAGGTAAACGGCATTTCCATGCGCTGCTCTGGTTCGCCAGAAGCGGCTTAGTCATGCTGGCCACATGACCCAGAAGCTGTACGCCGGCTCCCTCGGCCAATAAAGCAGGATGAGCGCGCAACCCCAGAGTTGGTCACGACTGGACCTAATGGTCAGGGGTCCCTTTACCTTTTAAGCACCATTGATTTCAGGGGAGCTTATGCTATATAAACGTGCATTGCGTCAGGCTGCATGTGAGACCATGAGGAGCACAGAGGTGCAGTTGAGCCTGATGTGAGAGACTCTGAGTCAATATAATAGCTGCAATGTACAGACAAAACATAAACACGCAACTCCCCAGGTTGAGTCAAGGCTTGTTTCCCACCGAAACAAAAATGGACAAATTGCCTCCAAAATGATTCCGCCATGCTTCCCTGTCCTGTGGCTTGATCCATTAATTAGGTCAGATCAGTCCAGTTCCTTCTCATGAGCTGTGGCTCGAGGGGGCGAGGGGGGGCAGGCCACAGGGATGACAAGAAAGAGTCGGTCATAATTATTGCAATAATTTCAGGTGGCTTGACAACCTTTCTAGGAAAAAGACTTTGGCGAGAAGGGTGAAATATGGAAATATGCAAAATAGGGTGTGTGTGTGCTTGTTTGTTTTAGAATGTTTCATTGCAACAACTACATGTGTCTTACACACATAAATACAAGCATGTGCCGGACAAATGTATCAATATGGTGCAAAGCTAATTTAGGTTAGATTTGCACATGATTTTATCATGTTAAAATCTTATTTTGTGTAGCCTCAACACTATATGTAGTATAAGCAAAAATCCAAGCTTTGCACAGCCATCCATATGTGAAGCTACCTATTTCTGTGTTTGCTTTTAAAGCACAATTTACCATATCCCTACACACAGTTTGGACGCAGGCTATTGCTGAACACAGCATTCCCCTACCAATTACAGTCACAATATGTAGAAAATAATGGACTAGGGTGTGTGCCCAATTAGCCTTGGCCCATCCCAGTTCCTTATTCCTTTCTCCATCTATTGGCTGTTGTTGGCAAGGAAGTCCAAGCTCGACAGCATCCTGCCCCCAAATAGAGGGCTGGGCCACCAGGCACAATTCAACACTACCTCATAAAGGACACATCTCCAGTTGCCAAATGGCAGTTTACAGGCATAGTTATATTGGTTACCTGGGCTCAGCATGTTATCAATGAGTGTTGTGCAAAAAACAATGGTTTTGCCCGAATATATAGAAGACAATTCCCCAGTCACGGAAATCTGTTAGACAAAAAATATTTTGTGGCCTAGAGACATAGAATCATAGGACAGATTTATTGATTGAGCTCTTTCAAACTTTCATTGGAAATAGTCGATATTCTAGTGAACTAGTACAGTATTCAGCTTCAATAGACGCCCCTAGAAGACTACATGCTTTTGAACTATGGTGCTGGAGGACTCTTGAGAGTCCCATGGACTGCAAGAAGATCAAACCTCTCCATTCTGAAGGAAATCAGCCCTGAGTGCTCACTGGAAGGGCAGATCGTGAAGCTGAGGCTCCAATACTTTGGCCACCTAATGAGTAGAGAAGACTCCCTGGAAAAGACCCTGATGTTGGGAAAGATGGAAGGCACAAGGAGAAGGGGACGACAGAGGACAAGATGGTTGGACAGTGTTTTCGAAGCTACGAACATGAGTTTGACCAAACTGCGGGAGGCAGTGGAAGACAGGAGTGCCTGGCGTGCTCTGGTCCATGGGTCACAAAGAGTCGGACGCAACTAAACGACTAAACAACAACAACAAGGAGACTATAAGTGGGGTGGGGGTGGTGGGGGCAGCACTCTGATGCATTTGTGGTCTCCTCTGAAAAGGATGCCTTGAATCAGCCCTGATTTTACTGCTTTTTCTTGCTAACAACTACAGTGGTACCTCAGGTTACATACGCTTCAGGTTACAGACTCCGCTAACCCAGAAATAGTGCTTCAGGATAAAAACTTTGCTTCACGATGAGAACAGAAATCGTGCTCTGGCGGCGCGGCGGCAGCAGGAGGCCCCTTAGCTAAAGTGGTGCTTCAGGTTAAGAACAGTTTCAGGTTAAGAACGGACCTCTGGAACAAATTAAGTACTTAACCTGAGGTACCACTGTAGTTAATGCATAAAAAAAGCTGACAGCTCACTTCTCTGTTAGATGCCTGCTTTCATAGGAGCCAACTCCTAGGCGCCGAGGTCCCTTCACCCCACTCCCCATAAATAACTTGAGGGGGCTGTGTCCCTCAGTTGCCATTGAAATGGTGTCCCTGTGCTTGCCGTGTGACTGATTATGAAGGGTGTGGTTTACCCCAGTATTTAATTCAAGTTGGCACCCCCGGGCAGGACACCCATTCGTCACCATCCTCCGCCCGGCTCTGTCTAGCTGCTTCAGGCTGAAATGTCTCAACAGCAGTAGTTTTATTTTTATTTTTTCCAAAAACAAATATTAAGTTTCACAAAATTATACACAAGCAAAACACACAAACAAACAAACAAAAATCATATTAAAATTACACTTACTGACATTGTTAAGTGACTTCCTCGCTTCCCCTTAGTTGAATTTCCATGCATATCCTTATCACGGCTTTCCAAATCATAATTCTTATAAACTTAACTTAGTCCAATAACATCCTTATGTCTTTTCAATTCGAAATTGTACATGTTAAACATCACTTAACTTATATTAATTCCTAAGCCAATCTGTTGCCTGCAAGCTATTTCCAATTAATTTAACTTAACAAATTTAGCTAAGTAATCGTTAAATTTTGTCCATTCTTCCTGATACTCCTCCTCCTTCTGGTCACGGACTCTTCCGGTTAGGTCAGGAGCTCCAAAAAATCCATCATCTTCATCTGCCATTCTTCCACTGTTGGCAATTGTTGGGTTTACCACTTTTTAGCTAGTAAAATTCGAGCAGCAGTTGTGGCATAAAAAAATAATTTAACATCTTTCTTGGGCAATTCCAAACCTGTTATTCCAAGAAGAAAGGCCTCTGGTTTCTTTAGAAATGTATATTTCAACATTTTTTTCAGGTCATTATAAATCTTTTCCCAGAAGTCTTTCACCTTGGGGCAGGTCCACCACATGTGATAAAAAGTTCCTTCCTTTTCTTTACATTTCCAACATAAATTATCACAGTTAGGTTATATCTTTGCTAGTTTGACAGGAGTCAAATACCATCTGTACATCATTTTCATTATATTTTCCTTTAACACAGTACATGCAATGAACCTTACCCCTTTCTTCCAGTCTTTCCCAATCCTCAAACATTATATTCTGTCCTACATCTCTTGCCCAATCTATCATCACCAACAGCAGTAGTTTTAAATGACTTTCTTTTGGACCCCTAGTGCTCAGAAAACTTTCTACAATATCTGCTTTTAGCGAAGTATGCTTGATTAAGGAAGGGAAACCCCGATCTCTGCGCTACGCCCGGGCCCCTCGGCCGTCTACCCGCAAACGTCGGGGATGAAGCGCGCACGTGTGAACACCGTTCTTGGCTGGAACCTCCGGAGGGCTGCGCGCTCCGCAATCCCCCGTGGGCTTCCCCTTCCCCGGGTCCTCCTCTGGCCGAGCCCCGAGGAAAGCCGCGGGGCTTTACGCGCCCCACCAAGGCGCCCACCTCCCGCTCCATCTCCTGGGTCCTGTGCGCGCCTGTGCGCCCCGGTTCCCTGCGCGCCCGCCTCGCCGTCCGAGGGAGCTCCGCGCCGCGCGTCCCGGAACAGGAAAGGTTCGCGCGGCCGGCTCGCCTTCTCCCGGCCTGGGCGCGCAGCAGCCCTCCTTCCCTGCTGGCCCGCTCCGTCCGGCCCTCCTTCCCCTCCCCGCCAAGGCGGGCGCGCAGGAAACCGGGGCCGCGCGGCAGACAGCCTCTTCCTGGGGCTTTAGGTAACGTCTCGCCAAGCGCCGCGGGCAGCAGCAGCAACCCAGCCTTCGCGGCCCTCCGCCGATCGCCCCACCCAAGCAGCCGTCCGCCGGGGCTGCTGAGCCGGGCGCGCACGTCGGAGGAGCGGGCCGCTGCGCGCTGCTGCTGCTGCTGCTGGCGGAGGCGAAGATGGCGCGCCCGGGGAGCGGAGGGGCTCTCCTCCTCGGCGCCGCCGCCCTGCTGCTGGCCGCGGGCAGCCTGGCGTCGGGAGCCCGCCAGGAGAAGGACGTCGGAGGAGGAGGGCACGGAGGCGGCGGGCCAGGGGAGCGGCCCTCGTCGTGCCACGGCGCCTTCGATCTCTACTTCGTCCTGGACAAGTAAGTGCCTTGCCGTCGGGGCTCTCCAAGAAGAAGCCTCCTCCCCAAAGTGCCCTGGGCGCTTACTCCCGAGTAGTCCGTCCTCCCAGCGGGGCTGGCTCCCGAGGAAGCCGTCGTGGGCTTGCAGCCTCCCGGTGTGGGTTTCGTCCGGAGAGTTGCTCGCAAAACGCACCGTCGTTTTGTGTTGGAGCAACGTCCGCTGCGGGGAAGGGTGCAAGCTTCGGGGTTGCACCGAAGTGCGTGACAAGGTCGTCGGGCTGCCCAGACGCCAGCCTAACAGCCTAACAGGGGCAAATTGTACTCTTTTTCTGCCAGCTGAAGTTACTCCAGGGTCGTTGTCTTGCAAATCCGCACCTCTTTGTTGTACCTTGTTGCAACCCGAGGGCAATTGCGCCCCCTCCTCTCCCCTATACATCAGCTGCACAGAGGCCCTACAGAGAGAGTTGAAAAGTGCTATTGATGAAAGCGTAGCAGTCGTGGTTATTCCCTCCTCGTTGCTGATGTTGTTGTACAGAGGCGTTCATCTTCTGCCAGACCGGATTGAATGGCCAGACTTTTTGCCAGTTTTCTGGTCATTGTGAGGAAGAACCATCACAAACAGAAATCCAAGCAGCACAAAGTAGGTTCGGCAGAAAGAGCATTTAAAAAGCACGATCCCAAGGAAATGGGTTCATTTCCAGCAATTCTCCAAGAGGCCAAGTTTTGGCCAGATGTGAAGACTTCTGTGTGCACTGTCAGCAGTGGCGTAGCGTGGGGGGTGCAGGGGGGGCCGGCCGCACCGGGCGCAACATCTGGGGGTTAGGGTTAGGGGGCGCAAATCCACGGGTTAGGGGGCGCAAATTACTTGCCTTGCCCCGGGTGCTGACAACCCACGCTACGCCACTGACTGTCAGTGCATGACGGTCTGCATTGAACTGCACCTGGATCGAGTTCCGGGTCTCCCTCATAGTTTGGCACTGAGCAACGCTGCTTTTATTGCATATAAAGATTAATATTCAGACTTGCTAAGCGACTTAACAGCCTAAGTGAAAATACGTTAGCTCTGAAAATTGTTCTTTGCTCGAGCAAGTATGGAGCTCAGACAAAGAATGTTTCACTTCCTAGCATGCACATTATGGAGGGACGCGGGTGGTTCTGTAGGTTAAACCACAGAGCCTAGGGCTTGCCGATCAGAAGGTCGGCGGTTCGAATCCCCGTGACGGGGTGAGCTCCCGTTGCTCGGTCCCTGCTCCTGCCAACCTAGCAGTTCAAAAGCACTTCAAAGTGCAAGTAGATAAATAGGTACCACTCCAGCGGGAAGGTAAACAGTGTTTCCGTGTGCTGCTCTGGTTTCGCCAGAAGCGCCTTAGTCATGCTGGCCACATTACCCAGAAGCTGTACGCCGGCTCCCTCGGCCTGTAAAGCGAGATGAGCACCGCAACCCCAGAGTCGGTCACGACTGGACCTAATGGTCAGGGGTCCCTTTACCTTTACTTTATGCACATCATGAGCTAAAAGCATTTCTCCTTGGGAGAAATCGGTTCTGTGGACCCCATGAACAAATAGCTTGCAAGTCTTTAACTCTGCCATGCGTTTAAGCCGCTCTGTTTAGAACCATGACTGAAAAATATAGCAGCCGATGGAACAGACCTCCAGCAGCGACAGCTTAAATTGTCTAACTAATCACCAAACAAACCCACAAAATTAAGAGAAGCCAAAAGAGTTGATTGTCACGCAGTTGATGAAAACAACCGAGACAGCTTCATTTCTCTTAATGCTGAGTGGCAATTTAAAATACATATATTCCATACAAACTGTCACTGTTGTTCAAGATCCTCCGAAAATGATACAGTAATGGCAAGCCGGTGGTCAGTTTATGCTGGCCTAGCATACCTAGGTGTAATATAGAATCGTAGAATCATAGAATTGTAGAGTTGGGAGGGACCCCAGGGGTCATCTATTCCAACCCCCTTTTGCCCAACGTGGGGCTCGAAGCCACGACCCAGTTGTGTGCTATCTGTACATGAAGCGTGTGATGGAGGGAGCTAGTCTGTGCATGGCGACAAAGAAAGGTTTCCATAATTTCGCTGCCCCTCGCTACAGGCTAAGCACACCGGTGTCTGTAGAGACAGATACCACAGTGCTGTGAGTCATTGTGGCGTAGGCAGCAAACAGCCAGCGGCTCTTTTTAAAACGATCTTTTTAAGTTTTCAGCAGAGAGATTCCCGTGTGTGTTGCTCAGCTCCCAGTCTGAATCATTGGGTAGAACTGATTTATAGACTGTCCAACTCAACAAAGGGCACAGAAGGTGCGGATTTAACAGACACGGGGAAAGAAAAGAGAGACCGGAAAAGAGAGACCCCCGTTACATGGATTGTCAGTCAAAGCAAAAATGCTGTTGAAATCAGCGAGGTTTACTTCTGAGTAGACATATTTAGGATGGCAGTAAAAAAAAATCTACTGGAGCTCTTTACCTTTCTCTTTCCAAATGGGGATAATAAAACGTAAACCAGCAACTTTCTAATAAGACTGTTATGTTCACCATTGAAAGCAGCAATTATTCATTTCTGCGTTTCCTTTCTTTTTAATAATGCTTAGCATTCATGTATATTTTATTATACTTCACCAAGTTGGTGAAGTAAGCCAGTGTCATTCTGTCACTAAGTTGGGGTGAAACCATCCTACCGTCTCCAGGGGCCTTATTTGCTCCCCCAACCTCCTATTACAGTTAATTTGTTTCATAGGGAGGAGTCCAGCGCAGTGCGAACGTTACAGCAGAGTGGAGATTTCTGCTTGTACAATGGACCATTCTCCCCTCTCCTCCCTGTCTCCCGCATGCCCCATGAATCTCTTCTTGGGGTTTCCATGATACTCTGGAGCAGATTTGCAGGGGGCGGGACCACAAGAGTCATCTAGTCCACCCCCTTGCAATGCAGAAATCAATAATAATAATAATAAATAAATAAATAAATAAATAAATTAACACCAGAGTGGGAGATAGCGTCCTTGCAACTGATGCAATTTTATTTTATGCATCTGTGTTCATTTGTTGTTTTTATGTATGCAATTGGTGTATATTTGTGTCCTTCGATGTATTCTCTGCTTCCCACCGGTTTGTTAAGCTTGTGTGAATGCTCAGCCGTCCATAAATGAAACCACAATAGCTTAATGTTATTGTGGTGTGTCACTGACTGTTTTGCTCTAGCCAATTTCAGTGTTAATTTGCACCAGGCTTTCAGGGCTTTGAATGGTAATGGGGTAGGTTTTTTCTGCTTCAATATTGTGGCTATGTTTTATGCAGAAAGATGGGGTAGAAATTATCAAAAGTGAACAAAGGGTGTTTCCTCATGAGAAAGCAAAAACTGAGTTCTATGTTTCACCAGGAAAAGACGGAATAAAAATAAATAAATACTGTTATTCAAAAAGAGAAACCAAACCAAACCGTAAATAGGCCAAGATCACCTAGTGGTTTGTGTGTGTGTGTGAGTGAGTGATTTCAGTCAGTCTCGATGAATTTAAAAAAAAAATGCCTGTACAGTGGTACCTTGGTTTGCAACTGTTTTGGATTATAACCGTTTTGGATTACAACCACGTCAAACCCGAAAGTGTGTGTCCCTTTTTTTGGATTACAACCCATTTTTTGGGGGGGAGGCCCCATTGGCGAAAGTGCACCTTGGGTTACAACCTGTTTTGGTTTACAACCGGACCTCCGGAACGGATTATGGTTGTAAACCAAGGTACCACTGTATTGGATGATCAGAGAGAGAAGAAACAACACATGTTTTAACATGAAGCTGTTGAAAGGAAGAAGGACCATGCCTAGATGGAATGTGACAGCTCTCCTGTTTACACTTACTTCAAAGTAACCTCCGTTGCTTCTGAGGAATTATACACAGGAGCCAGACTAGCAGCAAGGCACGATGCCACTAAGTAATGGGTAGTTTGTCTTACCAAAGCACTTTGGGCGGTCCAGTCCAACACCTGATTTGGAATTGCATGCCTGTTCTTGCAGCTTTTTCTGCTGTCTTCACGGGGCAGGGTGTGGTGACAATTATCACACAAGCTTTTCATTTTCTAAGAATGAAAAACTATTGCCAGGGGATAGTCATTATGGTAAATATAGATTGGAGCAAAATCTAAAATCCATCGTGCACGTTTTTCATTTGACGAGGGGCGTGGCAGAGAGGGATACGTATGAAAATGCAAAGGTGAAAACGTGCATCCCGTTTGCATAAGAGATTTACTTGCTCCCGAAACAACCTTTATATGCAAATATAACTTGTTCTTATTAAAGCACGGTAATTATCCTAAGGGATAATCCTAAGGGACGTGGGTGGCGCTGTGGGTTAAACCACAGAGCCTAGGACTTGCCGATCAGAAGGTCGGCGGTTCGAATCCCCACGATGGGGTGAGCTCCTGTTGCTCGGTCCCTGCTCCTGCCAACCTAGCAGTTCGAAAGCACGCCGGTGCAAGTAGATCAATAGGTACCGCTCCGGCGGGAAGGTAAAAGGCATTTCCGTGCGCTGCTCTGATTCGCCAGAAGCGGCTTAGTCATGTGGGCCACATGACTGGAAGCTGTACGCCGGCTCCCTCGGCCAATAAAGCGAGATGATGAGCGCCGCAACCCCAGAGTCCCTTTACCTTTACCTAATTATCCTAAGATACATACAGTATAGCAGGTTCTGCATTCCCTCTGGCTCTGATGTGCATGAACTAGGGACTGTACAAAAAATAGAGAGATGCCCCCACTTTGCAGCCATACTCTTGCAATCTACTGTTGCAATTTTCCATTTTCAGGTGAAGGGGATCACTTTGAAGCAGCGTGGCTCTAAATTTTTCTGCGGCACTCATCCTTCACTCACCTGGCATTGCTCATCAATTACAGTGGCACCTCGGGTTACAGACACTTCAGGTTACATACGCTTCAGGTTACAGACTCTGCTAACCCAGAAATAGTACCTTGGGTTAAGAACTTTGCTTCAGGATGAGAACAGAAATCGTGTTCCAACGGCACGGCAGCAGCGGGAGTCCCCATTAGCTAAAGTGGTGCTTCAGGTTAAGAACAGTTTCAGGTTAAGTACGGACCTCTGGAACGAATTAAGTACTTAACCCGAGGTACCACTGTAAAGCAAACTAGTTCATGGATTTGCACGTTAGTTAAAGTTTTGAAGGGGGCTTGTACATTTGGCTTCATAATGTCTGCAAATACTAAAGATGTAATTTCTTTAATGAAGGCTCAAAAGTCTGGGCATTGCACAGGCTCTGGGACCTGTGGAGGCGAGACGAGGAAGTAGCAGATCCCTGAACTGGTAGCATAGGATGTACTTTTCAGTTTGCAGGGGTGCAATATTTTGAATGGTCCCTGTGGTAAAATGAGCATCTGATTCACCTGAGATATCCTGGACGCGGGTGGCGCTGTGGGTTAAACCACAGAGCCTAGGGCTTGCTGATCAGAAGGTTGGCGGTTCGAATCCCCGTGACGGGGTGAGCTCCCGTTGCTCGGTCCCTGCTCCTGCCAACCTAGCAGTTCGAAAGCACATAAAAGTTCAAGTAGATAAATAGGTACTGCTCCAGCGGGAAGGTAAACGGCGTTTCCCTGCGCTGCTTTAGTTCGCCAGAAGCGGCTTAGTCATGCTGGCCACATTACCCAGAAGCTGTACGCCGGCTCCCTCGGCCTGTAAAGCGAGATGAGCACCGCAACCCCAGAGTCGGTCACGACTGGACCTAATGGTCAGGGGTCCCTTTACCCTTAGAAACTGCAAATTGCTATATCTTAACAAGTAGAACTCCCCTCTGCCTTCTCTGTCTTATGTCTTCGCTATGGAGTAACCCCCCCCCCAAAAAAAATCCCCACACCTTGATAATTTTGCTGCTATCTCCAGGAGCGACAGTGGAGGAATTTCCAGGTGGACACTCATCTGACCTCCTAAATGTAGACCCTGAATTCGTTTCTGTCTTGGGAAACCTTTCCCCCTTGATTAAGGGTGAAAAATCCAACTTTGGTGAGCCCCTCAGCTTAAAAAGCTCTTCTATCCCAATTTTCTTTTTTTATCCTTTAAGGCAGTGGTTTTCAACCAGCGTGCCCTGGCACCCTGGGGTGCCTTGAATGATGGTCAGAGGTGCCACGGGCAATACTGGCCTCTGTCCGAATTCCTATGCCCCACAAATAACCCAGAGCTGCATTTTAAATATACACATTCTACTCATGTGAAAATACAGTGGTACCTCAGGTTAAGTACTCAATTCGTTCCGGAGGTCCGTTCTTAACCTGAAACTGTTCTTAACCTGAAGCTCCACTTTAGCTAGTGGGGCCTCCTGCTGCCGCCGCGCCGCCAGAACACGATTTTTGTTCTTATCCTGAAGCAAAGTTCTTAACCCAAGGTACTATTTCCGGGTTAGTGGAGTCTGTCACCTGAAGCGTATGTAACCTGAGGTACCACTGTACGCTGATTCCCGGATTATCTGCGGGCCGGATTGAGAAGGCGATTGGGCCGGATCTGGCCCCCGGGCCTTAGTTTGCCTACCCATGCTCTTGCGTCTCTGCCTCCCAAAGGCTTGCACGACTGTTTGTTGCAGCAGCCCTGGCTACAAGCTCCCCAGGCGAATGGTGCCTCTGGGGCTGGCCAGGGGTGCTGGCTGCCAGGAGCTGAGGCGGCCTTGGAGCAAGCAAGCGGGCGAGGGAGCCCAGCCAGCCGGTCCACCAGCCCTTGCTGTTGGGAATGGACAGACAGATGGGAGACAAGGCAGGTGGGCACCATGCTGGCGTTCCTTGTGCTTGCTGTGTGCAAGGCCTGTCTGGGAGCTGAGTGCCCGGCGCTGCCATGCAGGCCCGGCGGTGCCCACTGCTGCCTCCCAAGGAGAGTAAGATGGTGGCCTCACATTTGGGCCAGTCTCTGTTGGGCCACTAAGGCTGGGGGCATCCTCTTCCCCGGCCCCTGTGGGGCAGTGTGGGAGACCAGGGATGGCGGCGGCAGCTGCCCAGAGGACCCCCAAGGAGAGGGGAAGGGAGAGGAGAAGAGGCTGAGGAAACACTTCCCAAGGGAGGGTATTTGATTTTTTTTTCCAATTTTTTTTTATTGGTTTTCACAACATTATAAACAAACAAACACATAAGACAAACTAACATAAATCTTAGCCTTATTGAAAATTACACTTATTAACATTGTTAAGTGACTTCCTTGCTTCTCCTTGGTTGAATTTCATTGCATATCTTTTTAACGGTTTTCCAAATCACAGTTCTTATAAAATTTAACTTAAACATTAACATCCTTAGATCTTCACATTATGAAATTAAACATATTAATTCACCCCTTAACATAAATAAAATCCTAAGCCCATTAAGTATCTGCAAGCTGTTTTCAGTTAATTTAACACATTAAACTAAGTAATCATTAAATTTATTCCACTCTTCCTGATACTCCTCCTCCTTCTGGTCGCGGACTCTTCCAGTTAGGTCAGCTAGCTCCAAAAAATCCATCATCGTCATCTGCCATTCTTCTATCGTTGGTAATTCTTGGGTTTTCCACTTTCTAGCTAACAAAATACAAGCAGCAGTTGTCGCATACCCTCCCAAGGGAGGGTATTTGAAAAGGGGTGAGAGGCTGCCAGCTCTGCAGGCAAGGGGTGACATAACTGGGCTCCTGAGCCCCACAGGGGGGCCGCAGAAAGAAGGTAGTTGGTCAACAGAGCCATGAACCCAAAAAGGTTGAGAATGTCTGCTTTAAGGTATTACCGTAATTATTTTGTTCAGGTAGCAGTAACCGAAAACAAATGTGCAGAGGAAGCTTGTTGGTTTTTTAATGATGATGATGATGATGATAATTTTATTATTTATACCCCGCCCATCTGGCTGGGTTTCCCCAGCCACTCTGGGCAGCTTACAACACACATAAAAAATGGTAGAACATCAGACATTAAAAATTGGTACCTCGGGTTACATACGCTTCAGGTTGCATACGCTTCAGGTTACAGACTCCGCTAACCCAGAAATACTACCTCGGATTAAGAACTTCGCTTCAGAATGAGAACAGAAATTGTGCAGTGGCGGCGGCGGGAGGCCCCATTAGCTAAAGTGGTGCTTCAGGTTAAGAACAGACCTCCAGAACGAATTAAGTTCTTAACCCGAGGTACCACTGTATAGGGCTGCCTTCAGATGTCTTCTAAAAGTCAGGTAGTTGTTTATTTCCTTGACATCTGGTGGGAGGGTGTTCCACAGGGCGGGTGCCACCACCGAGAAGTCCCTCTGCCTGGTTCCCTGTAACCTCACTTCTTGCAGTGAGGGAACCACCAGAAGACCCTCAGAGGAGTTCCTCAGTGTCCGGGCTGAATGATGGGGGTGGAGACGCTCCTTCAGGTATACTGGGGCAAGGCCATTTAGGGCTTTAAAGGTCAGCACCAACACTTTGAATTGTGCTCGGAAACGTCCTGGGAGCCAATGCAGGTCTTTCAAGACCGCTGTTATATGGTTCCGGCGGCCACTCCCAGTCACCAGTCTGGCTGCTGCATTCTGGATTAGTTGTAGTTTCTGGGTCACCTTCAAAGGTAGCCCCACATAGAGCGCATAGCAGTAGTCTAGGTGGGAGATAACTAGAGCATGCACCACTCTGGCAAGACAGTCCGTAGGCAGGTAGGGTCTCATCCTGCATACCAGATGGAGCTGGTAAGCAGCCGCCCTGGACACAGAATTGACCTGCGCCTCCGTGGACTGCTGTGAGTCCAAAACGACTCCCAAGCTGCGCACCTGGTCCTTCAGGGGCACAGTTACCCCATTCAGGACTAGGGAGTCCTCCACACCTGCCCGCCTCCTGTCCCCCCAAAATAGCACTTCTGTCTTGCCAGGATTCAACCTCAATCCGTTAGCCACCATCCATCCTCCTTTTACTGAGTTTCTGCCAGAAGCTATAAGAGAGTTGAGTAAAAGTTGGCCATTGCTGATCTGAGTATAATTCACTTTCAGGTCTGGAAGCGTCAAACACCACTGGATAGAAATTTATTCCTTTGTTGAAAGTCTGGCTGAGAAGTTCATAAGGTGAGTATAAACATCTGGAGATTTGAGTGCAGTTGATTTCAGTATTTCTAATCTCCCTCCTTATTCATATTCACTTATTCACGGTTCTTTGCCCTGCCTTTGCCTCACAGTCCGATGCTTCGAATGTCTTTCATTGTGTTTTCCTCGCGAGGGACCACAATTATGAAGTTGACTGAAGACAGGCAAGTGTCTATATTTTTAATTAAATAAAGAAGGGGAGGGAAGGCGAGTAGAGGTGTTCCTGTGAATTGGTTGGTAATTTCCTGGGATGAAAGAGGAGCTAGTTTTGGAGAGAGCATTGGTAGTTACTGGTTTGTACAGTTTTTGCCCAGTTACAACTGGGGAAACATAAAAAAAACCTTGGTTTGTATGCACTGAAACGTATTTTGCCATTTGGCGATACTTTTTCCAGTTCTGCTTGTTGTTCAGCTTTGTTCGCAATCACAGAACGCTGGAAACTTGGGAGAGACAGGCAATTAATTTTGCCTGAGAAAATAATAATAATAATAATAATAATAATAATGGTAATATTCGTACCCCGACCATATAGACGGCCCCCTGCAGAATATTAAAAACATTTAAACATTAAATGTTTTAAAATATTAAATATTAAAAATATTAAAAAATAAAAAAAATATTAAAATTAAGGTCAGCATGCTAGAAACCAACTGCAGTTACCATGTCAACAGGTCCAGAATGCCAGTGGAAAGACCCTTTGGGTAACTAAAAGTTTTAGATGCCCCTTCAGCCTGCTTGATATTGAGGCCATTGAATTGTAGAGTTGCAAGCGTATCTTAGAGGACATCTCAGTGATGGGCATCTTCAGATATTTGAAGATGTCTGTTATATTGCATGTGGATAACCTCTCCTCCAAGCCAGACAGCCCAGTGTCTTTGAGCTTTCCTCATAGGTAGTGATGGCCAAACTTGGCCCTCCAGCTGGTTTGGGACTACAATTCCCATCATCCCTGACCACTGGTCTTCTTAGCTAGGGATGATGGGAGTTGTAGTCCAGAAACAGCTGGAGGGCCAAGTTTGGCCATCGCTGCTCATAGGTTTCCAGGCTTCTTGCCATCCTTGTTGCTTCCGTTGTGTTCTTGCTCGATGGTTAATAAAGCTCGCTTGAAAGCAACAACCCCGATTTCATGAAACCAGTGGAAGCCGTTGAGGTTGCTGGTGGAATTTTGTTAAGTAGTTGTCAGTTGGTTGGAATGTGTTGGTTGCAGGGTGGATAAAAATCAATGATTTTAAAAAATAATAAATTTAAAAATCAGATTTTTTTTTAATCGGGTTTATTTATTTATTTATTTAAATCGGATTTTTTAAAATTTAAATCTGATTTTTAAAATAAAATGTTTTTGGAGGAAAAATCTTTCTAAAGATAGTTTTCTATTTAAGTTACTTTATAGTCCAAAGCCTATTCATCAGGAAATAAGGATTAGTTTTAAGTTTTTCATGTGTGCTAAAACTCAGTCTAAGTTGGGGTTTTTAAAAAAAATTGTTTAACCACATCAGTTAAGAAACATGGATACATATGGATACATATGCTATAATGTTATTGTTTTAGTTAAATAAATTGTTTAAATTGTTGTTAAGGAAATGATTATTTTTCTCCTTCCAATAAAGTACAGCAGAAAAGTTGTCCTAATATAAATAGCTAACTTACTAAACATCACAATAATTTCATAATTATCTGTCTATGTATTTCTAATGGTATAACCAAATCAGTAATTTCTGATATAACTGTAAAAACCACTCTGAAACTTTATCATTCCAGAAATGAAACCTTCATCTGGTTGTAAATATTAAGACGATACAGCATGCGTCTTTCTGTAAAAAAATAGTAATGACTTAAATCAAGTCTTGCTGACTAGTGATTTAAATCAAGTCTTACTGACGAGTGATTTGAATCGATTTGATTTAAATCAAATCCACCTTGGTTGGCTGATGGTTGTGGGTCGAAACACAAGGACTTGTCGCTGTCTTAATGTACGGCTTCCATTTTGTTGGGTCGTGTTGAGTTTGTGCATAATTTTCAATTAGATAGAGAGATCTAGAGATCTATGAATATGTTAATTCAGAGAAGTATTCCAGTTCAGTAGGCTATGTCGCAGTGAACAGGACCATACGACCCTATTTTTAAGTCCCCGGGGGGGGCGGGGGATGCAATTCCGAGCGAGCTTACGCGATGTACAACGCACGCTTTCCGGTCACTTTTCAGTCGTGTCGTTTGCTGAGGGTTTGCTGTCTTATTGCAACGTTTCGCGGTGGCGAAGCAAAAACGTTGAAAAGCTCTGCCTTTTCCCCTAGGGAAGTCATCCAGCGAGGCCTTGCAGTTCTTCAGAGACAAGTGCCTGGAGGAGACACATTCATGCATGAAGGCTTTAAAAGGGTAAACGCTGCAATTCCTCAGTGCTGTGATTTACACATACCAAGTGCTTCCAATTCATTTCGGGACCCAATTCAAAAGGCTGGGTTTGGGGTTTGTTTTTTTCCTTTAAAGCCCCAAAAGGCTTGAGGCAGGGCCTTTGTAGGGGTGGCACCCAATATATGGAACGCTGCGGTCTCTTGTCAAATGAAGAATCTTCTTCTTCTCCCAAGGCACTTGCTATTCCCCTTGCTGACTTTATGTCGGTTTTAAGTTGTTCTTCGGTTGCATTGTTTGTGTTGGTTTTAGCTATACTGGTTATTTGTAAATGGTTTTAGTGGGGTTTTTTAACCATTTAATTGTTGTGATGCACTTTTAGTGGTATGCAAAAGACCCAAATGATACATCATCATCATCATCATCATTTACTATTTATACCCCGCCCATCTGGCTGGGTTTCCCAGCCACTCTGGGCAGCTTCCAGCAAAATATTAAAATACAATAATTCACCAAATATTAAAAGCTTCCCTAAACAGGGCTGCCTTCAGATGTCTTCTAAAAGTCAGATACTTGTTTATTTCTTTGACATTGGATAGGAGGGCGTTCCACAGGGCGGGTGCCACTACCGAGAAGGCCCTCTGTTATGTGAGTGGTGTATATATATATGTGTGTGTGTAATAAATAAATTTGTGTCCTCTGTTGCAGGCAAATGAACAGATCTATGAAAATTATGGAGGTAGGTGATGTTTCTATTAGGAGCACTGTCACTTCCTACTGTAAGCATCCCAGGGAGGGATATGCGAGGGAGGAGGCCTAATAGGAGTTGCCATTAGATTAGGCCAGGCCTACCATCTTGAATAAGGGACGCGGGTGGCGCTGTGGGTTAAACCACAGAGCCTAGGACTTGCCGATCAGAAGGTCGGTGGTTTGAATCCCTGCGGCGGGATGAGCTCCCGTCGTTCGGTCCCAGCTCCTGCCCACCTAGCAGTTCGAAAGCACCCCTAAGTGCAAGTAGATAAATAGGTACCGCTTTACAGCGGGAAGGTAAACGGCGTTTCCGTGTGCTGTGCTGGTGCTGGCTCGCCAGAGCAGCTTCGTCACACTGGCCACATGACCCGGAAGTGTCTTCGGACGGCGCAGGCTCCCGGCCTCTTGAGCGAGATGAGCGTGCAACCCTAGAGTCGGTCACGACTGGCCCGTACGGGCAGGGGTACCTTTACCTTTACCATCTTTAATAATAATAATAATAGTTGTTATTATTAATACTCTGCCCATCTGGCTGGGTTTCCCCAGCCACTCTGGGTGGCTTCCAGCAAAATATTAAAATGCAGTAATTCATCAAATATTAAAAAGCTTCCTTAATTGATCTGTTTTGATTTGGGGGTTTTTACAATTGCTGTCCAGAATATTTTCTTGACGTCGTTAACTGTCTTAGGTCATTGCTGTTCTTATATGATAATCAGAAGGTATCATTTTACAGCGTGCAGAAAAGTTAGAGCTACTGACTGTTGCCATTTTTTCTTATTACATCCAAATGGGTTTTTTAAAAAACATTTGTGCCATGCAAGCTTCCGTCTGATCTTTTTAACATCAAAACTTAAATGGCTTTTGCTTTCCGTTTAGCCACATTTTCTAGGAACTAGACTATTTCATATGAAACAAAGGGAAGACTTGGATGCCAAACGATAATTCCCTCTCTTGCCTGCGTTTCTCCCAAGAAGCAAGACAAATGCGCCCAATCTTTCTCTCCCGTCCCAAGGTCACCTTGAAGATCTTGTGTCTCTGTGACATGAGCAAGAAAAGAAATTTGACATTAAGAATACCTGTCAACAGTGATCAGTGTCTTTAATTTCAAGCTAGACTGAGAGAGACATTTGAAAATACAATGAATTGTATTAGGAATGCACCCAGTAATAAAACAATATTTTAAATGACTGCTTAGCGGCGCTTTCAGATTGATGTATGTAACAAATTTCACGAAAGCGGTTTTCTTGAGATTCTTAAATGAGCTTCCTACCTGTTGCTAATAGCTCAGTTTGTGGAATCCCCAGGCGCTTCAATGAGAGTGGCTACTGTATGTTTGAGCCTTGCTTCTGTGCATGTCATTCAGCCTCAATCCTGTTTCTCTGCTGGTTGATGCCCAAGTAAATTACTAGCTTTTCTCTTAAGCTGAAGCCTTGTTTTCTTTTTTAATTGAAGAATCTAATATATATTTATGCTGCCGTATTTCAGGACTCCAGACAGCTAGTGTGATCATAGCTCTCACAGACGGGGAGCTGCAAGAGGCCCAGTTTTATTACGCAGAGAAAGAAGTAAGTTGAGCCTGAATTTCGTCAGACTATGTGGAAATGTTCAAGTGTGCACAACATGCCCCTTGGAAGTTATATAGAGTTTTTTAATACTGTTATGTACTGAAGTTCTCACCCTGGGCCAGCAGGGGGATACTGTAGATAGTTATGCAAATGAAGGATCGAAAGTGATGTTCAGTGATTGGATAGTTTTAGAAAGTTGCTACAGTAACGTTGTACTAGAGCTCTATATAAGCAGGCTGACTGAACCCTTCAGTTCAGTTCTGTTCTGGCCTCTGAATAAACAAGAGCTGTTTGAAGAATCGCTGTGTCGTCTGATATGTTCACCCACAACTTAACAAATACTACCTCTCATTTTAGGCCGACAGAGCGAGAAGCCTCGGCGCAATTGTCTATTGTGTTGGTGTGAAAGACTTTAATGAAACTCAGGTAATTTTCAAAAAATAAAATAAAATAACGTTCTTCTACAAACGGAGTTTGATTCTTCCATTGCATTAAAGGACAATGGATGGTTCCTGTAAGGCACTCCCGTACCTGCAAACAAAGACAAATACTTTGTCTGAATAAGTAACATACACCTTTGTCTTTGTTCCCCTTTAAGGTCAAGCACCCTAATTCCCCCCTTTACTAGTATTAGCATATGAACATCCATACACAGTGTCCTTCTTCAAATGATTCTGTCATACACATTTTCCTCTGTGCACTTTGGCCTCTTTGAATGGCTATCATTTCTTCTTGCAATTTCCAGTTCTACCCCATTCGCATCCAGACAACAACAACAACAACAACAATAATAATAATAATAATAATAATTTATTATTTATACCCCACCCATCTGGCTGAGTTTCCCCAGCCACTCTGGGCAGCTCCCAATCAAGTGTTCAAAACAGTACAGCATTAAATATTAAAAACTTCCCTGAACAGGGCTGCCTTCAGATGTCTTTTAAAGAGAAGATAGCTGCTTATTTCCTTGACATCTGATGGGAGGGCGTTCCACAGGGTGGGCGCCACTACCGAGAAGGCCCTCTGTCTGGTTCCCTGTATCCTCACTTCTCGCAATGAGCGAACTGCGAGAAAGCCCTCGGCGCTGGATCTCAGTGTCCGGGCAGAACAATGGGGGTGGAGACGCTCCTTCAGGTATACAGGACCGAGGCCGTTTAGGGCTTTAAAGCTCAGCTACACAGAACCGAGGCCGTTTAGGGCTTTAAAGGTCAGCACCAACACTTTGAATTGTGCTCAGAAACGTACTGGGAGCCAATGCAGATCTCTCAGGACCGGTGTTATGTGGTCTCAGCGGCTGCTTCCAGTCACCAGTCTAGCTGCCGCATTCTGGATTAATTGCAGTTTCCAGGTCACCTTCAAAGGTAGCCCCACGTAGAGCGCGTTGCAGTAGTCCAAGCGGGAGATAACTCTGCCCTCTGGTGAGACAGTCCGCGGGCAGGTAGGGTCTCACCCTTCGTACCAGATGGAGCTGGTAGACAGCTGCCCTGGACACAGAATTAACCTGCGCCTCCATGGACAGCTGTGAGTCCAAAATGCTCACCCTCATTTCTTAGGGGAGATTCCTCCTGAACTTGGACACACCTTGGTTCCCCAAGCATCCATGGACAAGCTGTTCTGCCACCTTTTAGATGCCAGCTGTCTGGTTCAGCTGTGGTTCAAGCGAAGCCTGTTCCAACGTACAGGCCTAGCTTCTCCACAATGGCCCCAGGTCCACAATTAATCAAAAACCATCCTCCCAGCGCCATGGTCTCATCCACGCGATGGAGAATGGCCAGCTGGCTCTGTGTATCTCAGACAAAGCTACATTGAAGGGAAGCAGGGGGGTGGGTGGCGCTGTGGTCTAAACCACTGAGCCTCTTGGGCTTGCAGATCAGAAGGTTGGCGGTTCGAATCCCCGTGACGGAGTGAGCTCCCGTTGCTCTGTCCCAGCACCTGCCAGCCTAGCAGTTCAAAAGCACACCAGTGCAAGTAGATAAATAGCGTTGGGGAGCAGTCAGTGGTCATGTTGGCACCAGTGATGTGGGGAAATGAAATTCTGGGGCCTTGGAAGCCAAATTCTGGTTCTTAGATATGAAAGGCAGTACCTTCAAGGTAAAGGTAAAGGCCTCCTGGGCAGTTAAGTCCAGTCAAAAGCGACTATGGGATTGCGGCACTCATCTTGCTTTCAGGCCAAGTGAGCTAGCGTTTGTCCACAGACAGCTTTCCGGGTCATGTGGCCAGCATGACTAAACCGCTTCTGGCGCAATGGGACACCGTGACGGAAACCAGAGCGCATGGAAAAGCCATTTCCCTTCCCACTGCAGTGGTACCTTTTTATCTACTTGCACTGGTATGCTTTTGAACTGCTTGGTTGGCAGGAGCTGGGACAGAGCAATGGGAGCTCACCCCGTTGCGGGGATTCAAAACACCCACCTTCTGATCTGATAGGTACCACCTGCAGTGGTACCTATTTACCAGGTTATACAGACAATGCCTGACGCAGACAGCCTTTGGGCAGGCAAATCACCATGCTGTCTGCTTGCATGTGACAAACACAACTACCCATGCCCAAAATCACCCACTCCCTTGACCCCTACTCATGGAGGGGACATCTTCTTTGCTTGCATGGTCATCTCATACAATGGCAGTGATTCCATTGAACACCTTACAAAAAATAATGTCCATACTTTTGTGCGGTTAAAAAGAACTAAACACCCCTTGGTTTCACCACAAAATTTTTTAGCAGTGAACTCATGTGGACCTTGGGCGTCCTGCTCACAAGCAGCGTAGCATTGCTTGCTGGTGCCCAGGGCATGTGTGTGTGCGTGCTTCCATGCTGCCAGGGCAACCCCACCTGAGCAAATTGGGGCCGCACTGAGCTGCCTGCCCACCCACATAGGGGGGAGTCCGGCTGGCTGACATGGCCCTTGGGGGGCAGAGAGGAGCACTGGGCTATTGGGGTCACCTGGATCATGCCGCCTCAAAAATCGTGTGCCCCCCCCGGCACCCCCTTTTAAAGAAGGCTTTTATGATCTTTATTGCTGCGGTTGATTGATTGTGGTTCATCACGCTGCTTTCTTTTCTCTTGTTTTATTACTATGCTTTGTGCTTTACGTACATCTTATTTTAATGTATGCTGCTTTGAGGGTCTCCTCTGGCCAAGAAGCTGATTATTAATGTAAGTAAGAACTAAATAATAAATACTACACCTGTGTCCTTTCCAAAATGTTGGTGTATGGCAATAGTTAAGCTGTGTGGGTTGCAAGTTCAGATTTCGCATCAGCTCATTGATTGGCCTTTGGGTAGGTCATTATTTTCTTAATCTTGGTTGCCTCCCACCCCTGAAATATTGGGAAATAGAACTGGCCTAATGGCAACGCCGTTATTCAGATTACTGATATATGTGAAATGCTACAAACTTTCAAATACATCTCTATAAATGAGAAGCCTTTTATGACAAAGAAATCTGCAAGTATTTTAAGAAGTGGCCTTAAATTCTTCCAGTCAGCCTCTACTCTGGGCACATAATTCTACCATGTCTCTGGGTGGATATCGCTGGATAATTTAAGTCTCTTCTGGGTCACACGTTCTTCAGAACTTCCCAACAGGAAAGGGGCATAAGCAGAAAGCAGGCTCTGTTTTTAATTTAATAGATATTATTTTCCCCACCACACATTTATGAGTGTCTTGTCTTTGCAGCTATCGACTATTGCGGATAGCATTGATCACGTTTTTCCTGTGACTGGAGGTTTTTATGCTCTCAGAGGCACCATTGATTCGGTAAGTAGCTTATCCAATAAACGCACCCTTTTCTCAATTTGTCAATCAGCGTCAGGCTACCCTTGACTGCAAACACCATTCTTTCAATCCTACAGATTCTGAAGAAATCGTGCATTGAGATCCTGGCCGCCGAACCATCAAGCATCTGTGCAGGAGGTGAGTAATGCTACCTCGTCCGTTATGGATCCTGGTGATCTTTCTAGATGGTGATGTGAAATGCTGGGCTCTTTTAAATAAAGTCCTGGCTTTGATTTCCCACACAATATCACAGAGTCGTAGAGTTGGAAGGGACCTCAAGCATCATCTAGCCCCAACAATGCAAGAATTTCCTTGTTTAACCAACTAGTTTTTTGCAAGTGATTTATTGAACATGGTGCACCCACGTTTTAGGAATATGCTTTCTTCTTCTTCTCTGTTTGTTTGGCAAACCATAGCCTACAATGTGTTGTTGTTCCCTGCTGAACGAAGGACTTGATGATCAAATTCCATAAGATGCAAATGGCTCCTACGCTCGTGAAGGAACAACCATAGACTGCAGAACGCCATATGCATTCCAGATCACAATGTGCGAGATCAGAAGAGAGGTCAGGTGTGTCCTGGAATGGGTTCTTCAGAAGACAATGGTTCCAGTTGACTTGAGAAAGCGAGGCAAATCATTTCGTTTCATTTCACTTTTAATTTGTATTCCGCCTTTCTATTTTGCTGTACGCAAGGCGGCTTACAGCAACAAAATATACAACAAAGAACACACGCCTTTATAATAATCTGACAGAAAGTCATAATAAAACATAACCCTGAAATGGAATGACTTGTATCAAGTAAAGTAATATTAAGTATTCTATTAGAATATAATAGTACACCGTAAAAAATATCGGCAAATAATAATTGAACAGAAATTCACTCCCCGTGGAACGCCCTCCCGTCACATGTCAAGGAAATAAACAACTATCTGACTTTTAGAAGACATCTGAAGGCAGCCCTGTTTAGGGAAGTTTTTAATGTTTGATGTTTTATTGTGCTTTTAATATTCTGTTGGAGCCACCCAGAGTGGTTGGGAAAACCCAGCCAGATGGGTGGGGTATAAATAAATTATTATTATTTATTATTATTATATTTATTATAAATAATGACTAAACTATGATCGGTAAAAATGACTGAGGGTCTGTGGACCGCCCCCCCCCCCCTGAAAAAGTTTGCTGACCCCTGTTCTAGCCCACCCCCCTGCAATGCTAGAATCTCAACTAAAGCATCCTTTGCGTTTAAGAACGGGTCTCTCTTTGTTTGTATTCATATTTTTTCCACATATATTTCCACCTGCCTCTGTTGAATCATGGATAACCCCCCAAGGCTGGTTTTTAGCGATCGAGAGAACTGAATGTTGACTGAGCTGCTGTAGATGGATTAGTCTGTCTGGTTTCTGACAGTTCTCTGAGGCTTAATGTTTTGTGACCCTCCCAATCTGTAAGCCCCCCGTCTTGTAGTCCACTCTGCAAATTTGGATCTCCCTTGATTAGAAGTGACCGAGACGCGCAGCCTGCGAAGAGGCCCATCAGTCTGGAGTCCGAATTTCCCAGAAGCTTCGTTGCTCTGATTATACTCACAAGTGCCCTGGCTTGATTGAAAGGTTGCGCTGGATGTTGGCACCCAACCGGCCGCGTCAACTCCCAGGTGTGGATGCAAGCCGTCAGCTCCTCATCAGAGTCACGGAAGCAAAACAGACAGCGCCGCCAGTGCGCACCAGTTTCAACCCACCCTCTCGCTGCCAGCGCTGCCTCTTTGGTTCTGCGCTGACCTTTTCCCCTTCGTTGTCTTGTCAAAATTGGCAATTTGGTTTCTGACAGTAACGAAGGAAGAAAAGGACGCGTGCCGAGTCAGGGCCCCAATTTAAATAGAATTAGCCCTTTCAGCTGGCTTGGGTTCCCCGGAACTGAGTCGCGCTGTATGGGATTAAGAACGGGGCAAAAGGGGGCACAGGCTGCAAACCCAACAGTTTCCACCGCTCGTCTAACCCGCAATGAAAATGAATAGTTTCCCCCTTTTTTTTGTTTCTGTACCTGTTAATGGGAGTGGAAAATGCATAGTGGTCGTTTTCACAAACACCGATAACATTGGGGGTGGGGGATGCAGTCATTAAAACATAATATTTTTGTAGTGTCAAAAAAAGCACTTTTACAGGAAGTAGCAGTAATAGTCAGGGAAGAGGACTTTGCCTCAAAAGCATAATTCTCCAGCCTTCAAATAGGTCCGAACGGAACGCTTTCCCCAATAATATTTTAATGTTAATAGTGATTTCATAGCTCCTCGGCGTTGCACTTCTTGATTTCCTTTATCGTCTGAGGTTCTCCGTAAAATAGTGTTCCCATTTCACAGTCGGTACACTGAGGACCATTCCCCGTGAAGCCCTGCTGTATGTTATTGGGCCACGCCAGTTTTCCTCTCATGTTAACGTTTTCTCTTTACAGAATCCTACCAAGTGGTGGTCAAAGGCAATGGCTTTTATTACGCAAGGAACATTGACCAAGTTCTCTGCAGTTTCAAGATCAATAACACCATTACTCTTAGTAAGTTGGCAGGTTGTGGCATAATGCTGTTAAGCCTTCCCATGTTGTGGTGTGAAATGGTAACAGGGGAAGAATTTTCACCCTCATGGCTACTTCTGCATCATTCCCATCGTACCTGGGCTTGTCTTGCTGGTACGTGCAGGGGATGTACGGCCAACGCATTTGTCATCGTTGGAATGGAAGTTACGAATTTGATAATCCAGAACAGAAAAGCACAGGCAGGGTTGCAAAGTTTCAGGAAGATGCGGAAACCTACACTAGTTAAATTTCTGCATGTCCTGCAGCTGATAATGTCAGTCTGTATTCTCTGTCAAGGAGTGCGGCAAGATAGCCACACTAAAAGGGCCTTTGCATTATTTTCCTAGATAAGGATTTCATGAACTTCATCCGAAAGAAGCAAGTTTGAACCTCCCTAACGTATATTTAGGGACGCGGGTGGCGCTGTGGGTTAGACCACAGAGCCTAGGACTTGCTGATCAGAAGGTTGGCGGTTCGAATCCCCGCGACAGGGTGAGCTCCTGTTGCTCGGTCCCAGCTCCTGCCAACCTAGCAGTTCGAAAGCACGTCAAAGTGCAAGTAGATAAATAGGTACCGCTCCAGCGGGAAGGTAAACGGCATTTCTGTGCGCTGCTCTGGTTCGCCAGAAGCGGCTTAGTCATGCTGGCCACATGACCCGGAAGCTGTACGCCGGCTCCCTCGGCCAATAAAGCGAGATGAGCGCTGCAACCCCAGAGTCGGTCACGACTGGACCTAATGGTCAGGGGTCCCTTTACCTTTACCTTTACCTTTAACGTATACTTAGCACAAAAGGGCAACAACTCAACCAGCATCGGTTAGGGAATCAAATCACTCTAAAACAGAACAGACAAATAATTATCTATCTATCTATCCATCTATCTTTCTATCTATCATCTATCTATCTATCTCAATTTGTTCTACTCTGAATGAAATGAAAGGGAAGACACACATATAACCTGTAACTCACTGGCTGAAATGTTAAAAAAAGAAGAAGAAAGGGAAACCTAAAACTATTTGCTGCTGTAACGAATTTTTTTAAAAAATGAAACAGGCACTCTTCATAAACTTGCCATCGAAAGTTTTTTATGGCTGCTTTGTACTAGCATAGAAGTGATTTTTCGTTTCTTCCCTTCAGATGAAAAGCCAACTATTGTTCAAGACACATACTTACTTTGCCCTGCTCCAGTGATAGCAGATGTCGGACAGTAAGTACATTGTGCTTTTACCTGTTCCTCATACCACCTCTTACTTGTCGTGTTTTCTCCCCCCCAACCCCCCCCCCCCGAAATGCTAAAATGTGAGAACCGCCAACTGAAATATATCAGTTCTAAGGGGTTAGAAACTCGTGGGGGTGGGGAGAATCATTGATTTCATTGTTTGTTACGATAAACAGAGAACAGAAATAGTAAAAATTATAATTTATTATTTATACCCCGCCCATCTGGCTGGGTTTCCCAAGCCACTCTGGGTGGCTTCCAACAAAAGATTAAAAATACATTAAAACAGAGGGAAAGACCATCGTTTTAATCAACGTCTCTGTTGGCTCTCCAGGGTGGTTTACCTGCAAGTTAGCATGAACAGCGGACTGACGTTCATCTCCAGCTCTGTCAGCATCACCAGCACCCGCTGTGTAAGTATGAACCATGAAACTGAGGGAAGGAAGGACCTAAAACGCAGAAACAAGGACTAAGGGGTTGGGTGGAAAAGTGTTGCTTTTTGACCACCGATCCAGCTCTTAATAATAATAATAATAATAATAATAATAATAATAATATATTACTTATACCCCACCCATCTGGCTGGGCCTCACCAGCCACACTGGGCGGCTCCCAACAGAACATTAAAAACACAATAAGATATCAAACATTAAAAACTTCCCTAAACAGGGCTGCTTTCAGATGTCTTCTAAAAGTCAGGTGTTCTTAACATCTGATGGGAGGGCGTTCCACAGGGCGGGCGCCACCACCAAGAAGGCCCTCTGCCTGGTTTCTGGTAGCTTCACTTCTTGCAGGGAGGGAACCACCAGAAGGCCCTCGGAGCTGGACCTCATTCTCCGGGATGGACGATGGGGGTGGAGACACTCCTTCAGGTATACTCAAGGGAACATGAACTGGGTTTGACAGGGGCAGCCAACCTTGTTTATTCCTGACCCACTCATATCTAAAGCAGTGGATGGGGTGGGGGGCTAATTTTAAAGCCAAGAAAGGGATCTGTGAGTGTAAGACCTCTTGCTGAAGAGGGTTTTGGTAAGACACTTGCTGCTTTGTCTACACTGCTGCTGACCCAGGTTCAGGCTATGGTCGTTTGAATGCTTGTACTTTATAAGTTAGAAACAAATATTATATTTATAAAACAATGAATTTGTCTCCTCTCTCTTCCCACCCCCCTTCACTTTGCGTTTGTGGGCATTTTGCTCCTTACGCTGCCCTCTGCAATTCTGTGGGAGGGGTTCAGTTCCCTTCCTTGTGAAAACGGAAGAAAATGCGTAGGTCTATATTCTCACTATGGCGTCAGCATAACTGTCTGCAGGTGATCCTAGTCAGTGTACCAAGCAAAAATCCCATGCAACAAAGGCAGAAAGAACAAAACATTAGTCACACGTGGGCACACACAACTTACAAAAACAGCAGAGGGGGAAATCAGACATTTAGTCTCTACAACTAAACTTGTATGGGTTTGACTTTAACTATCTGTCCACACGGGATGCGGGTGGCACTGTGGGTTAAACCACAGAGCCTAGAACTTGCCGGTCAGAAGGTCAGTGGTTCGAATCCCCGCGACGGGGTGAGCTCCCGTTGCTTGGTCCCTGCTCCTGCCAACCTAGCAGTTCAAAAGCACGGCAAAGTGCAAGTAGATAAATAGGTACCGCTCCAGCGGGAAGGTAAATGGCATTTCCGTCCGCTGCTCTGGTTCGCCAGAAGCGGCTTAGTCATGCTGGCCACATGACCTGGAAGCTGTACGCCAGCTCCCTCGGCCAATAAAACGAGATGAGCGCCGCAACCCCAGAGTCGGTCACGACTGGACCTAATGGTCAGGGGTCCCTTTACCTTTTTATCTGTCCACACAGATTTTTTTGTATTTTGCAATGGCCATTTCTGATTTTGGCCTACCCAGATTGCCATAGACCGTGCGGAATAGGTACAGCAGAGACAAAATTTTAGCTGTGCGACTGAGCAGATTTATTTAGCAGTATACTAGCAGTGTAAGCGAGACTTGCCTTTCCAGTAGAAATGTTCTTGTGCAGTGCAGTCCCATACATATCTGCTCAAAGTAAGCCAATTGGGTTGAGTGATGCTCCCAGAATTGCTGACTTTGGGGCTGTTACAGAGAGCCAAAATAATAGCTATGTTCACTTGCCCCACAACCATGCAATCAAATGCCACTACTTAGGTTTTCTGGAAACAAACTAAGAAGGTAAGATCTTTTCTTCCTCTATAGCATGGCTAGTCCTTTCCTTCGAAGTCACTGGGGCTGTTTATTGTCACGTTTGATAATATGTACAAATGCAACATGAAATGGCTATGAGCATGCAGGAAGGAATGTACATAAGAAGATGGCTCTATAGAGCAGGCATAGGCAAACTCGGCCCTCCAGATGTTTTGGGACTACAACTCCCATCATCCCTAGCTAATAGGACCAGTGGTCAGGGATGATGGGAGTTGTAGTCCCAAAAACATCTGGAGGGTCGAGTTTGCCTATGCCTGCTCTATAGGTATCCAGGACTTTAAAGGTTAATACCAATGCTTCAAATTGAGCCTGGAAACTTAACAGGGAGCCAATACAGGCCTCTCCAAATTGGCCTGGTGAAATCAAGGTGCCTAGGGCCTGTCAGCAAACTGATTTCATTTTCTGAACAGTTTTCAGATTGCTTTACAGTAGTCCGCTCTTGGGCGTGAATGACTCTGGGCGAGGACAGATTCTGCCAGGAACGGTTGTGGTTGGCCGCTTGCCAGCGTTATATTTGAAAACACACACAAAATTAAAACGAGGTTTTTAAGCACTGTTTTTGTTCTGCTGCAATCTGCAGTTACAGTCTCTGGGTGTCGAACCAAATAGAGGGGGACGCTGCTCTCTGAAAACTGCTTTGCACTTTGTGTCTGGCGTTCGAAGAGATGAGCTTGTGTGGCTTCCTTCTTCATATGGAGAAAGCAAGGAAATTGATCTAATGTGCTGCCTTAGGGCCTGACCGCAGCCAAACGACACTCTCAGATGTCACAAGTAGCACATTTATTCGCATCCCATTTTTTTTCTTTCAAAGACACATGAAGCAGCTTACAAAAAACGATGCAGCGGAGATTAAATTGAAAAACAACAAACGCTGACTAATATAGCAGCAGTAAGCGTGGTAAAAGTCCATGATACAAACTTTCATTTAAAAAAACAACAACTGGGTCATTAAACGCTTGTTAGATAAAAAATATATTAATGAAATGAAAAGAATAAAGATTTGAAAATTCAGTGCTTAATTGCAAAGGACTTGCGCTTAATGGTAGATTAATGGGGAAGAGCTGTAGCCTTGGAGAAGCTTCCTGGTTCACTCTCAGGAGATGGGGACTGTTATTGGTTATACTGGATGCGGGCGGCGCTGTGGTCTAAACCACTGAGCCTCTTGGGCTTGCCGATCAGAAGGTCGGTGGTTCGAATCCCCACGATGGAGTGAGCTCCCGTTGCTCTGTCCCACCTGCTGCCAACCTAGCAGTTTGAAAGCACGACCTTGACAGATTAGAGAACTGGGCCAAAACAAACAAGATGAATTTTAACAGGGAGAAATGTAAAGTATTGCACTTGGGCAAAAAAAATGAGAGGCACAAATACAAGATGGGGGACACCTGGCTTGAGAGCAGTACATGTGAAAAGGATCTAGGAGTCTTGGTTGACCACAAACTTGACATGAGCCAACAGTGTGACGCGGCAGCTAAAACAGCCAATGCAATTCTGGGCTGCATCAATAGGAGTATAGCATCTAGATCAAGGGAAGTAATAGTGCCACTGTATTCTGCTCTGGTCAGACCTCACCTGGAGTACTGTGTCCAGTTCTGGGCACCACAGTTCAAGAAGGACACTGACAAACTGGAACGTGTCCAGAGGAGGGCAACCAAAATGGTCAAAGGCCTGGAAACGATGCCTTATGAGGAACGGCTAAGGGAGCTGGGCATGTTTAGCCTGGAGAAGAGGAGGTTAAGGGGTGATATGATAGCCATGTTCCAATATATAAAAGGATGTCACATAGAGGAGGGAGAAAGGTTGTTTTCTGCTGCTCCAGAGAAGCGGACACGGAGCAATGGATCCAAACTACAAGAAAGAAGATTCCACCTAAACATTAGGAAGAACTTCCTGACAGTAAGAGCTGTTTGACAGTGGAATTTGCTGCCAAGGAGTGTGGTGGAGTCTCCTTCTTTGGAGGTCTTTAAGCAGAGGCTTGACAACCATATGTCAGGAGTGCTCTGATGGTGTTTCCTGCTTGGCAGGGGGTTGGACTCGATGGCCCTTGTGGTCTCTTCCAACTCTATGATTCTATGATTCTATGATTCTAAGTGCAAGTAGGTAAATAGCTACTGCTGTGGTGGAAAGGTAAACAGCATTTCCATGCGCTCTGGCACTCGTCACAGTCCTCTGTGAGCCAGTAGCGGTTTAGTCCTGCTGGCCACATGACCTGGAAAGCTGTCTGTGGACAAACGCCGGCTCCCTCGGCCTGAAAGCAAGATGAGCGCCACAATCCCATAGTCGCCTTTGATTGGACTTAACCATCCAGGGGTCCATTACCTTTACCTATACAGTGGTACCTCGGGTTACATACGCTTCAGGTTACATACGCTTCAGGTTACAGACTCCGCTAACCCAGAAATAGTACATCGGGTTAAGAACTTTGCTTCAGGATGAGAACAGAAATCGTGCTCCAGCGGCGTGGCAGCAGCAGGAGGCCCCATTAGCTAAAGTGGTGCTTCAGGTTAAGAACAGTTTCAGGTTAAGAACGGACCTCCAGAACAAATTAAGTTCTTAACCCGAGGTACCACTGTACTGGTTGCAGTGAAGGAAGCAAGGTGGGGTTTGCAATGTTTCCCACCCAGCGCTGTTTCTTTGAACTAGTTGAAATTTAGAAGGCTGAGCTTCCTTAGTAAAGCCCTCAGTAAAAGTTCCTTGGCTGCATTTTCCGGGTGTCAAAGCCAGAAGCAATGGGCACCCTGGGCTCAGCGGGGCGGGGGGGTGTGTCCCAGATGTTTTAACGAGTGCCCTGAGTACTGAGGGCACCTCGTGGCACTGATAAACAGTGGTGTGGGTGCCAGTAGTTCAACAAGCAGGGCAGCCGTGGGAAAAAGGAAGTTTTTGTTCCCAGCCCTCCTCCTCACCCTTCTCTGAAGCACTGCATGCTGGGTGGTAGAGCCCAGTGGAAACCCAAAGGTGTTTTCAGTTGTAGCTGTTTTAAAGAAAGAGAGGGAAGAAAATACCTATGCTTTATTTGTTTGTTTGTTTATTTATTTATATTTTTAAAATTAGTTTTCAATTACAACAATCCAATAATAGCCTCATTATAAAAATGCCAAATTATAATATAATTCCTAATACAAATCTTTCAAATACCAAATTTCTGTATTTTTCGCTCTATAAGACGCACCAGACCATAAGACGCACCTAGTTTTTGGAGGAGGAAAACAAGAAAAAAAATATTCTGAATCCCAGAAGCCAGAACAGCAAGAGGGATCGCTGCGCAGCGAAAGCAGCAATCCCTCTTGCTGTTCTGGCTTCTGGGATAGCTGCGCAGCCTGCATTCGCTCCATAAGACACACACACATTTCCCCTTACTTTTTAGGAGGGAAAAAGGTGAGTATTATAGAGCAAAAAATACGGTATATAATTTAGGTGGCCCCCCGCATGCTAGAATTAATGGTTTGATGGTTTACTTTGTTCCTGTGTTCCAAAACCTTACCGATTTCAATTACATGCCCGTCGTAATAGTGATCCCTTATGCAACAGCTGCAATATTAATAACTTCTCTTCGTGTTGACACATTAAGTAACTTATAAGCGTGCAAGTGAAGCTCTCGTACTGTGTCATTGCTTTCCCTGTGTGTGACATTTATTCTGTCCGTGATGTATCTTCCTGCCCTTCCCATCATCACCTCGTACGCCATACGTCTAAAACCCGCGATTAAATCCGAACCGCGTCGATTGCAATGCGAAATAAACAATGCCCGGTTCTGTTGCAAAATCCGTAACCTAGGAATACCTTGCTTGCTTGCAGCATCGTGGGACGATTGTTTTCATTGTGCTCCTGATCCTGTTTCTGCTCCTGGCCTTGGCTCTCTTCTGGTGGTTTTGGCCACTCTGCTGCACCGTGGTAAGTGTGCGGGTCGTATTCAAGGCTGTTTTTTAAAATTTCTTTTTATATGTTGTTGTTTAGTCGCGTCCGACTCTTCGTGACCCCCTGGACCACAGCACGTCAGGCACTCCTGTCTTCCACTGCCTCCCAAAGTTTGGTCAAACTCATGCTGGTAGCTTCGAGAACACTGTCCAACCATCTCGTCCTCTGTCGTCCCTTCTCCTTGTGCCCTCCATCTTTCCCAACATCAGGGTCTTTTCCAGGGAGTCTTCTCTTCTCATGAGGTGGCCAAAGTACTGGAGCCTCAGCTTCACAATCTGTCCTTCCAGTGAGCACTCAGGGCTGATTTCCTTCAGAATGGATCGGTTTGATCTTCTTGCAGCCCACGGGACTCTCAAGTGTCTCCTCCAGCACCATAATTCAAAAGCATGAATTCTTCGGTGATCAGCCTTCTTTACGGTCCAGCTCTCACTTCCATACATCACTACTGGGAAAACCATAGCTTTAACTATACGGACCTTTGTTGGCAAGGTGATGTCTCTGCTTTTTAAGATGCTGTCCGGGTTTGTCATTGCTTTTCTCCCAAGAAGCAGGCGTCTTTTAATTTCATGGCTGCTGTCACCATCTGCAGTGATCATGGAGCCCAAGAAAGTAAAATCTCTCACTGCCTCCATTTCTTCCCCTTCTATTTGCCAGGAGGTGATGGGACCAGTGGCCATGAACTTCATTTTTTTGATGTTGAGCTTCAGACTATATTTTGCGCTCTCCTCTTTCACCCTCAATAAAAGCTTTTTATATATAAATTTTTATTAGTTTTTTTTAACATACAGTTTTCAACAGTGACTAAACATATTTTTACATCTTATTCAATTTTTTCCCCTTCCATCATTCCTGTCTGAAAACTTTCCAATCCAATCTCTTAGTATACATTTCTTATTTTCCCTGTTACATTAAAACTCATAACCAATGTCTCTATTCTTTATCCGCTTTGTAGCACTTCATATATTTCTCCTTACAAAACTTATTGTAGTCCTACTAGCGTAATTTGTTGGTTACAGTTGCTCTTCAAATAGTTCATATACTTCTTCCAATCTTCTGTAAATCTCTGGTCCCGCAGGTTTCAAATCCTTCCTGTCATTTTGTCCAATTCTGCATAGTCCATTATTTTCATCTGCCATTCTTCTTTCGTCGGAATTTCTTCTTGCTTCCATTTCTGGGCTAACAATACTCTTGCCGCTGTTGTTGCATATAAATTTTTATTTACATCTTGCCTATTAATGTCCTGACCTAGAATACCAAGTAAAAATGCTTCTGGTTTTTTTTTAAATTGTATATTTCAACATCTTTTTCATCTCATCATATATCATTTCCCAGAAGTTCTTTATTTTCTTACATTCCCAGTATTCAAGGCTGTTATTTGGCCAGGGGCAGAATTTAAAATCCAGGAAAAGTGTAAAAGGAAGAGAAACACTCTCCCTTGTTTGACCTGAGAAATGAAGAGTTTCCACCTCCCTTCCCTGCACGCCCAAAATTGTATTGATTTCCAAATATAACAAGGCTTAAGAAAACAGCCTCCTCTCTTACTAGGTTCCTGAACTTTTAACAGCAGGCCGACATGTGCAGATTTAGGAAACAAAGGTTTTTCTTTTCACTTTAGTTTCCTGCCAGGAAACTCTTCCTCATTTCTGTGTGATAGATTGCTGTTATCCTGGGATATTTATTATTATTATTTACCAAAGGGTCACATGGAAACGTTTTAAATATATTAATAGCATCCTAATTCAGTGAGAGGTCTAGGTGCTGGTAAAGGGACAAAGACAGGCCATCCTTATTTCTTTTGCTCAATTTCCATCCTTTTTTCTAACAATGAAGGCATAGGAGATGGGCCAGGATAAACTAGGTGAACGTAATGAGATTCAGTCTCAGATCAGTAATGAACTGATGGGACAACTTTGCCCTTTCCTGTTGCTGATCTTTCCCGTTTTGTAAAAAGGCGACAATAGTAAGCTTTCCTTGCAGGGATTTTGTGAAGATTTATTAAGGCAAAAATAGAGGTGCCTGTCCTTAAGCTTGGCTATAAGGAGGCTAAACAATAAGGTACTGAGTGGGACGCGGGTGGCACTTTGGGTTAAACCACAGAGCCTAGGACTTGCCGATCTGAAGGTCGGTGGTTCGAATCCCCGCGACGGGGTGAGCTCCCGTTGCTTTGTCCCTGCTCCTGCCAACCTAGCAGTTTGAAAGCACATCAAAGTGCAAGTAGATAAATAGGTATCGCTCCGGCGGGAAGGTAAACGGTGTTTCCGTGCGCTGCTCTGGTTTGCCAGAAGTGGCTTAGTCATGCTGGCCACATGACCCGGAAGCTGTACGCCGGCTCCCTTGGCCAATAAAGCGAGATGAGCGCCACAACCCCAGAGTCGGCCACGAGTGGACCTAATGGTCAGGGGTCCCTTTACCTTTAGCTTTAACCTTGGCTATAAGGAGGCTAAACAATAGGGTACTGAGTGGGAATGGTCAAAGAAGCATCATGAACAGGAGCAGGAAACCTGATTTTAAGAAATTGTATTAAATTAAATTAATTTGGCTTGATTTGTAATAATTGGGAAAATTAATAAAAATAATTTTTTAAAAGAAGCAGCAGCCAAATAATAATAATAATAATTTATTTGTACCCCACCCATCTGGCTGGGTTTCCCCATCTCCCAATAGAATATTAAAAACACGATAAGACATCAAACATTAAAAACTTCCCTAAACAGAGCTGCCATCAGATGTTTTCTAAAAGTCAGATAGTTGTTTATTTCCACAGGGCAGGGGCCACTACCAAGAAGGCCCTCTGCCTGGTTTCCTGCCAAGATGTTTCCAGAGCTTTGGGGCTTATGTTTAGCAAAAGGATGTCTTGAAGAAAGCTTGACTGTGAGCTCCTTTCTCGCAGGAACGGGTGCTGTGTGCTTTCATTGCACAGAGATCCCTTAGTAGATTCTGCAGCCAGCAGCAAAGCGATTAGATTCTCGGGCTGCATGCCAGGATCCCACCCCAGAACTTGCACTTGCTTGTAAGTTTAGAAAATGAGTCACTTCCTTGCTGCTCAGCTCTGCTTTTGCGAGATACCCCTGGCAGAGTTTTCATCTGGAAGACGCTTGCTTTTTTTTCTGGGCACTGGAAAAAAGATTCGTGGCGGCTGAGCTTGCAGAATGATACAAAGCCCAGAAACCACGTTTCAGGCAGAGACAGAATTCACTAGATATTAGTGGTCCACAGACAACAAAGCAAGGTTTGGTTTCTAAGGAGCAAACATATTTTTAAAAAATAAATCAATAAGTTATTTCTTCAGAAAAGGAATGCCAAACAATCCTATTTCAGCTGCAACTGAGGGCTGTTTCATATATTGTCAGCTAGAAACCTGGGCCAGCAGCCAAGCTGACTGCCCTTATATGATCTTTTTATTTCCTGCGTTTATACTTTCTGTGTACATTTTTTAAAAATCTTCAAGTATCCACTGCTTGTTAAACTAAATTTAGCAAGCCAGTAGAATTATATGAGTGGATTGCATTAATTTCCTCAGACCAATTATATCCGCGCCATCTTATACCATTAAAAAAAACTGTAAAAGAGCAGTTTAACTAGATTGCCAAGAAGAAGAATACTTCCTAACAGGGAGAAAAATGTGAGCACACTAAAATGCGGAAAGCATAGCTGACTCGTTCACGGCTGGTTCACAATGGTAGTAGCCTGTCCTTCCTCGGTTTCCGCAAACTTCACATCAGGGTACATTTTCATTTTTGTCAAATTATCCCTGATTTGCCAGGGGTGTTTTTAAAGAGTCACACCCACCACAGCTGCACAGCCGGTGGCAACAAGTTAAAGACAGCTGTGTGGGCTGGATGGCTGCCACAATTCTCCATGATTAAATGCCTAAGGTTGCAATCCTGGCCCCCACCCCCAAATGCTGATTCTTGCCTCTGCTTGTGGGGGAGCTCCGTTGTTGCAGGAGCCCTGAGCTTTTACCCCTGTGGTCAGGAAGCTACTTTCCCGGGGTTAGACTAGATGGCCCTCGTGGTCCCTTCCAACTCAATGATTCCGTGATCTGTGAGTTTCAGGGTCCAATGCTGGATCCGAAAGCCCCACAGATCTCCCGAGGGGCCCGATCTTTGGAGCTGGTACAGCGAAAAAGAAAAAAAGTGCCTACCTTTTGTTTTGCCCTGAAGGAGTTGGCAGGATTGTAAGCACGGCAGTGAATACAAAACACTGTGGCTTTTCCATTGCCTCTCGCTAGGAATATTGGTGGAGCAATCCCAGCCTTAGGTTCATTTCCCTTGCTTTAGCAACGGCACTGTTGAGCCTGGAGCAGGAGTGGCTAACCGCTGGGGCTGCAGATATTTTGGGACTCCCAACATCCATCAGCGCCAGCCAGCATATTCCTCCCCCCCCCAATTATAGGTGGCGCTGTGGGTTAAACCACAGAGCCTAGGACTTGCCTATCAGAAGGTCGGTGGTTTGAATCCCCATGATGGGGTGAGCCCCCGTTGCTCGGTCCCTGCTCCTGCCAACCTAGCAGTTCGAAAGCATGTCAAAGTGCAAGTAGATAAATAGGTACCACTCCGGCGGGAAGGTAAACGGCGTTTCCATGCGCTGCTCTGGTTCGCCAGAAGCGGCTTAGTCATGCTGGCCACATGACCCGGAAGCTGTACGCCGGCTCCCTCGGCCAATAAAGCGAGATGAGCGCCACAACCCCAGAGTCGGTCACGACTGGACCTAATGGTCAGGGGTCCCTTTACCTTTACTATATTTCATTAAGTTTCAACATTTTAACATGTATAGTCATAACACGATTTTGTCTTTCATTTTTGTCGGCTTCCTGCCCCTTTTCCCATGGAGTTCTTTTATCCTCCCCTTCTGTCACACCTCACCTTTTATCTATCGCATCATAACCACAATATTATAATCTAATTACTTTTGTTGCTCATAGCTCAAATCCTACTCGCAGGTTCATCATACTATAATATTTCTTTAACTAGTCCGAAAAAGGCAACCATTCTTCCACAAAACACTCATCATAAGATTCCCTGTTTTCCTGATCATTTTGTTGGTTCTGCTTAGTCCATTATCCATTCTTCTTTGGTTGGAACTTCTTCTTCCTTCCATTTCTGTGCATATACCATATTGGCCCGAATATAAGCCGCACCTTTAAAATTCAAGGGGGGGGGGAGGAAAGGCAATACCCATATATAAGCGACTCCCTTAAAATTCTGCAGGCACTCACACCCGTAAATGGCAAATGTAGAAGAAAATCCCACACAGCAATATCGTAAAAGCCATTTTTTGTAAGGTCGCGACTTTAAGCCGCACTTTAACTTTTCACGGTAGGAATCTGGAAAAAAAAGTGTGGCTTATATTTGGGCCAATACAGTAAAATCCTAGTTGCTTTAATATTTTTTTTGGGGGGGCGGATTTCTGCCAGCATATTCAACAGTCTGTGATTGTGGTCCAATGGCATCTGAGGGGCACCACTGGTCTAAAGACTCTAAAGGGCTCAGGTAAAGTCAACTTTTGCGAACCTTTTGAAGAGATGAAGTTGTTGAGCCGGACTGTTTCAGTGAGTGAAAAGGTTGCATGTAGATGGGGGACAAAGCTTGCAGGCACTGACAGGCCTGTGTGTGTGTGTTTCAGGTCATCAAAGAACCGCCACCGCCACCCCCAATGGAACCTGTAAGTATGTTGTTACTCAAGCTGTTACCCTGGAAGAAGCATCATTCCCATAGGGCAGGGGTACCTTTTTCAGCTGTGGTCCGGTCCACTGTCCCTCAGACCACGTGGTGGGCTGGATTATATTCCTATGCCCCACAAATAACCCAGAGATGCATTTTAAATAAAAGGACACATTCTACTCATGTCAAAACACCAGGCAGGCCCCACAAATAACGCAGAGATGCATTTTAAATAAAAGAACACATTCTACTGATGTCAAAACACGCTGATTCCCGGACCGTCCGCAGGCCGGATTGAGAAGGCGATTGGGCCGCATCCGGCCCCCTGCGCCTTAGGTTGCCTACCCCTGCCGTAGGGGTTTCTGGGAATGGCAGCGAATGGGGCAGGCTAGGTAGGGAGAATAGTCTCCCATTAATTTATCCAGTAAGTGAGCGATTGCAAAGTGAAACTTCCAGTTCTCCGGGATGGAAAACAACACAGTTTCCATTTCGTTTCTATGGGGAAAAGAAAGGGCTGTCTAGCTCAGGCTTCCCCAACCTCGGCCCTCCAGATGTTTTGGGACTACAACTCCCATGATCCCTAGCTAGCAGGACCAGTGGTCAGGGATGATGGGAATTGTAGTCTCAAAACATCTAGAGGGCCGAGGTTGAGGAAGCCTGGTCCAGCTCTACCATTGGAGCTTCCCTCTTTTTTCCCCGTCCCTCAGAAGGAAACAGGAATGGCGTCGTTTTCTTTTCCTTGGGATATTTGGGGTCACACTGGGCTGCACTCTGCCGCCAGCTTCCTTTTGCTTAATGCAGGCTTTTGTTTTTAAGGAAAAGGAAAAGAGGCACCTTCTCCAACCAGTATCTACATTAGTGATACTCAACACTTTTCCAGCTGAATCTGTTTGGCTGGCGCAGGGTAACGCCAGTTATCCACGCCAGAGCTAGCACACTTAAAACGGAAGAGGAGTCCCAGCAGCGTTAAAACTGTGTAAACGGGAGCGTGGGTGTACGAGTGCAGGCGCTGTTCAGTGTAAATAAGCGTAACATGATGCATATTGGTGCAAAAACACCTGATACAGACTAGTGGAGTTTGAGCTGGCAGTGACAGACCAGGAAAGTCTGAGGGGTAATTTGCTTCCAGATGCAGTAATATCTTCCACAAGAAACCACGATCAAAATAATAGTTGTTTAACTGGAGCAATGAATAAACAGGAGTTTGCGAGAAATGTGGATAGTTTCAAAAGTATATAATAAATACAGTGGTACCTCAGGTTAAGTACTTAATTTGTTCCGGAAGTCCGTTCTTAACCTGAAACTGTTCTTAACCTGAAGCACCACTTTAGCTAATGGGGCCTCCTGCTGCCGCCACCGGAGCACGATTTCTGTTCTCATCCTGAAGCAAAGTTCTTAACCTGAGGTAATATTTCTGGGTTAGCGGAGTCTGTAACCTGAAGCGTATGTAACCTGAAGTGTCTGTAACCCGAGGTACCACTGTAAGGTCATATTTTATTAATGCATAGCCCTTTAGAATATCTAGCATTATAACGTAATGAATCTAACGCTTTATAACGTTAGATTTATAACGCATTATAACGTTTTAGAATCTAAATGGATTTTTGAAGCTCTCTCTGTATTTGATTACAGATAAATAGCCTTGGCTAAAAAGGCAAAGAGCCCCTCTCTCCTTCTTTTTTTTATGCCCTGGAAGGAGCTGCAGCTGGGAAAACAACGAGGTTTCTGTTTGCCGCCAGGCTATGAATGCAGACATGCAAAGCCAAGAATAGAGATTTCAGATGCCTGCTAGTTGACCAAGCTACTTCCTGAGAATATACACACACAGATCGCTCTCCCTTTCCGTATCTTTCCCACAGGAGTCAGATGATGAAGATGGGTTTCCAAAGAAAAAGTGGCCTACAGTGGATGCATCATATTATGGAGGGAGAGGTGTTGGTGGAATCAAAAGAATGGAGGTATTGCATTTGTTCTGAAGCCTGGGTGGGGCTCCTAATTGCGTCTGCAAAACTCCTCACATACACAAGCAAACTTAAGTTTGCTTAATGTGACCATGCACATTCGGATGATCGGTGTTGAGGACAGGCAGGATCCAATCTCAAAGTTTGAGAAATCTTCGTAATTTGGGGCCTTCAATCAATCACCTGTTAGTGCCAGGCAAGCTGATACATGGGTGTCACAGGGACACAGGTGGCGCTGTGGTCCAAACCACTGAGCCTCTTGGGCTTGCCGATCGGAAGGTTGGCGGTTCGAATCCCCACGACGGAGTGAGCTCCCGTTGCTCTGTCCCAGCTCCTGCCAACATAGCACTTTGAAAGCACACCAGTGCAAGTAGATAAATAGTAAATAAAAGACAAAGATTAGGACTAGGACTAGCCACCTGAGAAACAGTTTCTATCCAAATGCGATTTTAGTTTTAAACGCAGTGTAAGGAGTCTCTAGGGACGCGGGTGGCGCTTTGGGATAAACCACAGAGTCTAGGACTTGCCGATCAGAAGGTCGGCAGTTCGAATCTCCACAATGGGGTGAGCTCCCGTTGCTCGGTCCCTGCTCCTGCCAACCTAGCAGTTTGAAAGCACATCAAAGTGCAAGTGGATAAATAGGTACCACTCCGGCAGGAAGGTAAACAGCGTTTCCATGCGCTGCTCTGGTTCGCCAGAAGCAGCTTAGTCATGCTGGCCACATGACCTGGAAGCTGTACGCCGGCTCCCTCGGCCAATAAAGCAAGATGAGCGCTGCAACCCCAGAGTTGGTCATGACTGGACCTAATGGTCAGGGGTCCCTTTACCTTTAAGGAGTCTCTATGGGAGTATATTGTATTTTAAAAATGGGGTATCAGAGTTTTCAGGGGGCTAACCAGGTTGGGATAGCTGGGATAGCAGCCTTGCTGGTTTTGAATGTCTTATGTAGATTCCCCCCCCCCCAATTTTGTTCTGTATGGAGCAGTGACAATAAAGATTATTGTATCGTATCGTATCATATTGTAAATAGCCACTGCTGCAGCAGGAAGGTAAACGGCGTTTCCATGTGCCCTGGTTTCCGGCACGGTGTTCCATTGCTGGCCACATGACCCAGAAAGCTGTCTGGGGACAAATGCTGGCTCCCTTGGCCTGAAAAGTGAGATGAGCGCCACACCCCCAGTCGCCTTTGACTGGAGTTAACCGTCTAAGGATCCTTTACCTTTACCTTTTACATGGATGTCAACATGGGCAATTCATTTATCAAGCCAGATTCTCTACTGATGGCGTCAGTGGAGCAATATTGGTGTTATGCCTGATCGTTCCTGGCCCACACGTCACAAACTAACAATTTTATAAGAATAATTTTATTTTTTTTAATTTTATTTTTACCCCGCCCATCTGACTGGGTCGCCCTGGCCACTCTGGGTAAACCCCAAAGTATTTTGCACTTGGACCCATGGGAAATCTCAAGGTAATCCAGTAGTGACAGGTTTTTCAGGTTTCACATTTCTACTGAAATCATATAACCAGTGGGTTTTTTGTGTGGGTTTTTTTAATGTTTAGGGGTACTCTCATTTTGACTCAAGAATATCACCATTTTATAGTTCAAATTGGGAAAAGTAAATACAGTAAATGGACAAAAGTACAAAGAACATGCATTACCTCATATTGCACAGCTGACAGTAACTTCCACATTGGCATGAGGTTGTGTGCACTAACATCTTCCCAAAACTAACCAATCACAGTCCTAGATTCCAATTCCTACTTCACACATTAAACGCTCACTTCCATCTGAGACTCAGGAAACACCGTGGCAGGAAATGAGGCCGCCATCGGGGGTGGCAACGGAACTGACGATTCACCGTGCTAGAGGAGAAACTAAAAAATTTAAAATTTTTAGTTTCTTCTCCCATTAGATTCACAAAATGTTTTAGGGGTACGCATACCCCTGTGTCCCCCCAGGAAAAAAGCACTTCATATAACGAAACTAGGATGAGATCACTGTAATTCTTAAAAGTTCAAGGACATAACCAGTTTTAAGCAGATGCGAATTCGTAATTAAAAAATAATACTGAAGTACGGAAGCATAAATGGTATAGAATGAGACTACCCCTGCCCCCATCCCCCCAAAATAAATAGAAATTCAATCTGAGATAGAAATTCAAAATTATATATATAATTTTTATTAGTTTTTTTAACATATCATTTTCAACAGTAATTAAACATACTTTTACATCTTATTCAAATTTTTGACTTCCATCAATCCTGTCTGAAAATTCTCCAATCTAATCTCTCAGTATCCATTTCTTATCTTCCCTATTACATTTCAAACTCATAACCAATATCTCTATCTTTTTCTACTTTGTAACACTTCGTATATTTCTCCTTACAAAACTTCTTGTAGTCCTACTAGCGTAATTTATTGATTACAGTTGCTCTTCAAATAATTCATATACTTATTCCAATCTTCTGTAAATCTCTGGTCCCGGGGGTTTCAAATCCTTCCTGTCATTTTGTCCAATTCTGCGTAGTCCATTAATGTCGCCTGCCATTCTTCTTTCATCGGAATTTCTTCTTGTTTCCATTTCTGGGCTAGCAATACTCTTGCCACAGTTGTTGCATATAAAAACAATTTAACATCTTGCCTATTAATGTCCTGACCTATAACACCAAGTAAAAATGCTTCTGGTTTTTTTAAAAAATGTATATTTCAGCATCTTTTTCATCTCATTATATATCATTTCCCATAAGTTCTTTACTTTTTTACATTCCCACCACATATGAGAAAATGTTCCTTCTTTTTCTTTACATTTCCAACATTTATTATTTGTCTTATACATTTTAGCTAATTTCACTGGTGTAATATACCATCTTTACATCATTTTCATCATATTCTCTTTCAAAGCATTACAGGCTGTAAAGAGATAGAAATTCAAAATGAGAAAAACATAATATGCATGACTTGGGGGGAAATTATGAAAAGTGTTAACCATGGGTAATGGTAGTGCTGTTAGAAAAATAATAGAAGAGTCAAATGAAACTGCATAAACATTTGTGGACTAAAGCCTTATCAGGTACATGAGGAAGTCTTATTCTCTTGCACATACAGCTGTGGAGGGGAAAAATATAAAACAGTGGGGTCAGATGGCAGTCAAATGCGAAAACAAGACCCGTGACAATTCATCTGGCTATTTTCCCAGTCAAAATCGCAAACACCTCACACACAAAAACCCGATTTCCCACCTGCAAGAGAGAATATCCCATTCCGTTGTGTTTTACCTTAATCAGGTGAGATGGGGTGACAAAGGATCGACAGAGGAAGGAGCAAAACTAGAGAAGCCCAAAAATGCTGTCATCAAATTGCCAGAAGAGGAATTTGAACCCTGGGAACCCAAGCCAAAGAGAGATCACCCCCGGAGGTTGCCCTCCGAAAGGAAATGGTACACTCCCATTAAGGTAACGCACGTATTTGATTTTCTTCTAGGTTTTGCCAGACACCCGCTCCCAGAATTGAACACCAGAACGGCCACCGTCGTTCTTTGCCATGATCTTCTTAGGGACTTGCTCTCATGCACATATTAACTGTAAAGAAAGAAACCAATCCAGTTCTTAATTTTATTAAATTTTTATATGCTGCCCAAGAAGCAGAGAAGTGGGAGCGGTTTCAGGCAAGATCTCGTGTGATCTTGCCAGAACCTGCCACCATTGTTGCTGCTTCGTGGGCACCACCACGGGATCCAGGTAAGAGTGGCAGCGGCAGGAAGGCAACTTCCTGTTTTGCCTCAGGCGGCAAAATGGGGTGGGCTGCCTCACTGCAAAACAGTGATACCCCTTTTTTTCTGTGATTGCGAGTTGTTTTCAACTCTTTTAATCTTGTGTTTTGCCGCTGTAACCTGCCTTGGGACCTTAGGGTGAAAGGCAGGTAATTACAATTCATAATACAGTTGTACCTTGGTTCTCAAATGCCGTGGTATTCGGACGTTTTGGCGCTCGAACGCCAAAAACCCGGAAGTAAGTGTTCCGGTTTTCGTACGTTTTTTGGAAACCGAACGTCGGTCGCGGCTTCCAATTGAGTGCAAGAAGTTCCTGCAGCCAATCGGAAGCCGTGCCTTGGTTTTTGAACGGTTTCGGGAGTCGAACGGACTCCCAGAATGGATTAAGTTCGAGAACCAAGGTTCCACTGTAATAATAATATAAAAGTCCCAAGGCAAGGCAGGCAAATGCTACAAGCAGTCCACTAAAATTATGTGAATAGGGCAAGTTATGAGTTATGTGTAAATAATATTTGCCTGTTTAATAGGCCCTTGATCTGATTGCCATGTTGTTAAGATTTATGAAATATTTTGTTAGAATTTTTTCAGAAATGTGGGTAACAGTTGGGATTCCAGCCAAATCTAGCCAATGTGGTTAATGATCAAGGATGACGGTGTTGCCGTCCAACCATACCTGGGGGACCAGTGTTGGGAAATGCTGTTTTGTCCTGCCCAATATGATTCCTGTGCAATAGATTAATATGTCTGAACTGCTTAGAATGGCTAAAGACCTCAAATGCTGTTTCAAAAGACTGGTGCATCTTAATTCTGTCTTAAATCAAAGTGGTGCTGGCCTTTAAAGCCCTAATCGGCCTTGGCCCAGTATACCTGAAGGAGCGTCTCCACCCGCCTGGATGCAATTGTATGCAATTGATGAGGGGGACTGAGCATCGCCCCCTCCCCTCCTGTCTTCAAGACTTACACTCCATCACTGCTGGGACTTCTCTCAAAGCCCAACTTCAATAGGGACAGTAAGATGGGATAGCAAGAAGAGTGTTTCAGGCTGCAGGTGGCAGTGAGGTAATAAGGAAACAAAAGCGGTCTTACACTCACACATCTCTTTCTTGACTTTAAAATTAACCCCCCACCCCATCCACCCAGCCTCTGCTTTAGATGTAAGTGGTCAGGAATAAACAAGGTTGGCAGCCCCTGTCAAACCCAGTTCATGTTCCCTTGAGTATACCTGAAGGAGCGTCTCCACCCCCATCGTTCAGCCTGGACACTGTGGTCCAGCTCCGAGGGCCTTCTAGCAGTTCCCTCCCTGCGAGAAGTGAAGCTACAGGAAACCAGGCAGAGGGCCTTCTTGGTGGTGGCGCCCGCCCTGTAGAACGCCCTTCCATCAGATGTCAAGGAAATAAACAGCTATCTGACTTTTAGAAGACATCTGAAGGCAGCCCTGTTTAGGGAAGTTTTTAACGTTTGATGTTTTATTCTGTTTATTATTCTGTTAGGAGCCGCCCAGGGTGGCAGGGTATAAATTATTATTATTATTATTATTATTATTATTATTATTATTATTATTATTATATTTGCTGTCCCATTTGCCCCAGCTGGACTGATTCCTGATTATTATTAATTCTGCAAAGGCTACTAGATTTGAAAAGCCAGCTGTGTGACCAGGTACAATAGCAACCCTAAACTCCGAGCCTAAGTTTTCAAAAGGAACACAACCCCTTGTTGAACATGCAAGATAAAAATCCTCTTTGGAAGAACCTCTTTCTTGCCTGAATTTAGTTTCAGTTTGCTAGTCCTCACGTAGCTCATTGCTGACATCAAACCAGTCTAGGAAACCTACCGTTTCCGATGTACAATATGTCGATCATTTCTTATTTCAGGGCAAGCTGGATGCTCTCTGGGCCCTTGTTCGACGAGGCTATGATCAAGTTTCTCTAATGAGACCACAGCCTGGGGATAAGGTAAGGTTTTATAAGTGCCTTGACACGTCACTTCCTTCTTGTCAGAGACAATGCTTTTCATCTTTCTCTCTGTCTTTGTGTCCTATCGAATTCCTGTTAAAACTAAACGTTTTCAATCTAAAAGTATCTATTATCATTCTGCATTAGTCTGAACCCCAAAGCCATAACTGGATCCTGTTTTATTATTTAACATGCAATCAACAATATCTTTTTTATATGCCTGTTGTCTTTGGCCATGGAGTTTTCTTGGCAGGGATACTGGAGTGGCTTGCCGGTTCCTGCTCCAGGTGGATCATGTTTGGTCAAAACTCTCCACTATGACCTGTCCATCTCGGGTGCCCTGCTCGGCATAGTTCATAGCTTCTCTGAGTTATTCAAACCCCTTCGCCACGGCAAGGCAGTGATCCATGAAGGGGTCTCTCTTCTCATGAGGTGGAGACTCCAATACTTTGGCCACCTCATGAGAAGAGAAGACTCCCTGGAAAAGACCCTGATGTTGGGAAAGATGGAGGGCACAAGGAGAAGGGGACGACAGAGGATGAGATGGTTGGATAGTGTTCTCGAAGCTATCAGCATGAGTTTGACCAAACTGGGGAGGCAGTGGAAGACAGGAGTGCCTGGCGTGCTCTGGTCCATGGGGTCACGAAGAGTCGGACACGACTAAACAACAACAATATCTTCCAGCTGGTTCACAATGAAAAAATAATTAAATACTGCATTCCAAAACTAAAACAATCAGTTAAAAGATAGACCAACAAACAAATCACCATTGATACCAAGAAAGGTCCTAAAACAGATTATTGAACAGTTGGTCTGTGAGCACTTAGAAAAGGATGCTGTGATTACTAAGCGGCAGCATGTTTTTCTCAAAAACAAGTTATGCCAGACGATTCTCCTTTTTTGATGCAGTTCCAGCTTGGTGGATCAGGGGAATGCTGTGAATGTAGTATATTGTGACTTCAGTAAGGCTTTTGACAAAGTCGCCCATGATATTCTGGCAGAGAAGCTGGTGAAACGTGGACTAGATGAGTAACTGTTAGGTGGATTTGTAGCTGGTTAAGTGACCGAACCCACAGAGTGGTTCTTCATTGTCCGGGGAAAAAGTGACGAGTGGGGTGCTACAAGGTTCTGTCCTGGGCCTGCTGTTCAATGTCTTTATAACTGACTTGGATGGAGGAATTGAGCGGATTCTAACCCAATTTGCAAATGTCACCAAACTGGGAGGGATAGCTCATACTGCAGAAGACAGAATTGGGATTCGAGATGAACGTAACAGATTTGAGAACTGAGCCCAAACTGACAAAATGCATTTCAATAGGGACAAATGTCAGTTTGTGCACTTAAGCAGGAAGAACCAGGTGCACAAATATAAGATGGTTTGCCTGCATCAACAAAGTATAGTGTCCTGATCAAGGGAAGTAATAGTCCTGCTTTATTCTGCAGTGGGGAGGAAGAAGCAGCCAAGATACATTCCGAACATCGCGATATATCAACATATCACAATATTTAGCTGCTGAGGTGGGGTGAAATAGCACACAATTTTGTTGCCCATAAAAAGGCAGATGAAACGTTATGGGTTATTTGAAGAGGAGTAATACAAAAATTATGGGACGCGGATGGTGCTGTGGGTTAAACCACAGAGCCTAGGACTTGCTGATCAGAAGGTCGGCACTTTGAATCCCCGCGACGGGGTGAGCTCCCGTTGCTCGGTCCCTGCTCCTGCCAACCTAGCAGTTTGAAAGCACGTCAAAGTGCAAGTAGATAAAGAGGTACCGCTCCGGCGGGAAGGTAAACGGCGTTTCCGTGCGCTGCTCTGGTTCGCCAGAAGTGGCTTAGTCATGCTGGCCACACGACCCGGAAGCTGTACGCTGGCTCCCTCGGCCAATAAAGCGAGATGAGCGCCGCAACCCCAGAGTCGGTCACAACTGGACCTAATGGTCAGGGGTCCCTTTACCTTTAATACAAAAATTGTGTTGTGCTGCATTGCAATGTAGCGCTGTGCCTTCCCTCCCCACCCCTGTCCCTAAAGTACTGTGTGCAGTTGCAGTTATGCCACAGTTTTATGACTGTGGCAACAATGAGGCTTCTGGCATAAGGATGGGGCAGGCTTCCCATGTAAGCTAAATCTCTGCGGGTAGCGGAGGGGGGTGGAGAGAAGCTTGCCTTATGGAGCCCTGACCTTGTCCTTCTCAGATTCTCCTTTGATTTGGTTTTCGAAAAGAATCTGCCCTAGTATGCATTTCAGCAAATAACCACACAGGAAATTCCCCAAGCCCTGGTTGACCAAAAACCTCAGCTGAAAAGAGTCAGCATTCGTGTTTACTCCAGCCCGGATGGAAAAGCCCGCCATTTGTATCTGAAAAATGCATGCCCTCTGTTGCTGAACACCATCCCATACATGTCTACTCCCATCGTATTCAATGAGGTTTCTTTTTTAATAATAGAAAACAACAACCAGTGCTAAGTGTGGCCTAGCCACTAATCAGAACCATAGCTGTCAACTTACAGATTTGAAAATAAGGGACCAGCAGCCTCGAAAATAAGGGATCAGCAGCCAAAATAAGGGATTTGGGCTTAGCTTATACAGAAATCCGGCACTGATGAAGCCATGCTGCTTTTGCTGCAACTGACTATGTTTTGCCGGTGGTTGGACTAGATGATCCTAAGGGTCTACAACTCCCACCAAAGAAGAGTGGCAGACAAATGATGATGAACGACGTTGAGATGGCAAAGCTTACAGGCAGAATTAGAAACCAGGAAGAGGACCTCTTTAATAAAGAATGGGGAAAGTTTATAATTTAGTTGAAAAGCTATTGTCAAGATACATTGTCATTACATTGTCAATACATTGGTAGGATTGACTGAAAACTTGTAGTAAAAATTTGAACTATGGATGGACAAATAATTTATAAAAATAGAGTTATGAAAGGGATGCAGGGGGGGAAATCACTACATTACGATGCTGCACTGGTTGGAGGGGATGCTAAGCAGCACGTCGGGGCTGCCATTGTCCTGGGGCGAGGAGTTCCATTGGCCCTTCCCCGCCCAAGAGAGGGGGAGGGAGAGAGACTGTCGCCCACGCATCCCGTGAGCCTGGCATGAGGCAGTTGCGGCGCCACCGCGGCCCTGAAGTGCTGCCCTTCTGCGTCCCTCCCTATCTCCTCCTCTTCCTCCTCCCTCAGGCCGCCTCCTCAGCCGCCGCCTCCGCTGCCACGTCCAGCTTCCCCTGGCAGCGCGGCGGAAGTATCGCAAGAGAGGGGCTCCCTCGGCCAATAAAGCAAGATGAGCGCCGCAACCCCAGAGTCGGCCATGACTGGACCTAATGGTCAGGGGTCCCTTTACCTTTACCTTTAATACGTACAAGCGTTTACAATTTAAGTGAATTAAATTGCTGTACTTAACAACCTTTGCTTAAAAACCTCCCAAGGAAGGAGAGTCCACCACCTTCTGAGGGAGACTATTCCACTGTCGAACAGCTCTTACCGTCAGAAAGGTCTTCCTGACATTTAGTCGGAATCCCCTTCCTTGTAACTTGGAGCCGTTGGTTCCGGTCCTACCCTCCGGAGGAGGAGAATACGAGCTTGCTCCATCTTCCATGGGACAGTCCTTTAGATATTTGTAGATGGCTTTTAAAAGAAAATAGAAAGAGCAAGTGGGAGCACAGTCAAGGACTAACGTGTGCTTTTTATTTTTAAAAGCCATCCAGATAAAATCACACCTTGCTCAAAGGGCACATCATTTAGTTGAGCTCTGAGAAAAGAAGGCACAAAGGCCATATCCTTTCCCCTCTGCTTGACCCCAGCATCTGATTGAGAGTCATGGCTAATAACTGTAGAATAAATCTGTGAATTTATCTAATTTTCCATGAGTTTGTGAGTCACATGTGACCAGCTTGTTTCCCTGTTACCGCCGCGCAGTTCCTGCGGGGTTTCTGATCCCACGAGTGTCTCCTGCTGTTTTTGAAAATGACAACATTCTGGATATAATAGATAATTCGCTGGGGAGAGCTTTGCATAGCCTCATTGCTCTCTTTCAGTGCTTCCTAGACTAGACTTTTGTTGCCATGACAAGTGACTTGTATGCCTCCCAGCTTGATGCATATGCTTAATATCAGTGACACTGTCTTAATGTTTCCTGATGTTTGCTGACCGTGATTTCTGGGTGTCCTAGTCTAGGGGTAGAGCACTTCAATGATATAAAGCAAGTGGGCCCAGAAGTATAATAGCTAGATGACTGCAGTCAACAAATCAGTTTTTGGCGTAGGCCAGTCTAATAGGATCTGTGTTTTGGGTGCTCAAGAATCCGGAGCGTTCCATGCTCTGGCCAGGCATTACAGTGGTGCCTCGCAAGACGAAATTAATCCGTTCCGTGAGAGTCTTCGTCTAGCGGTTTTTTCGTCTTGCGAAGCAAGCCCATTGACGGATTAGCGCTATTAGCGCTATTAGCGGTTTAGCGGCTATTAAAGGCTTAAAGGCTTAGGGGATTAGCTGCTAAAAGGCTATTAAAGGCTATTAAAGGCTTAGCAGATTAGATAAAGGGGGGGGAAAGCGAAAAAAAATCTCAAGACTCGCAAGATATTTTTGTCTTGCGAAGCAAGCCCATAGGGGAATTCGTCCTGCGAAGCAACTTCAAAACGGAAAACCCTTTCGTCTAGCGGTTTTTCCGTCTTGCGAGGCATTCGTCTTGCGGGGCACCACTGTATTTGGTTCCTTACCCAGAATGGAGGGAAGTGTTTCATAGGTGAGGAATCGTGGAATTCTAGAGTTAGAAGGGACCCCTGGAGCCATCTAGTCCACCCCCTGCAATGCAAAAGCAGACCATTTGCTGGTCGTAAATGAATTGGCTTTGAGTGATTTGCCAAAGAGCACCATGGGCTTGCAACACAGCTGAAAATCTGCCTCTTATGTCCCATACCCCTCGAGTTTTCAAGTATATTCTCTGCTGCTTCGAGCAAGGCATTGTTGTTTTTTCATGTAAGGATGAAACCCCAGCCAGTGTGGAAGGAGAGGATGGTGAGAAGATTCAAGGGCAATCAAAGAAACATTTAAACATTTCAGTGTAGTGTAGTGTAGTACAGTGACAATTTTTTTTTTTAATTTGCAGAATATAGACCAGGCGTCAGCAACCTTTTTCAGCCATGGGCCGGTCCACCGTCCCTCAGACCATGTGGTGGGCCGGACTATTTTGGGGGGGGGGGGAGATGAACGAATTCCTATGCCCCACAAATAACCCAGAGATGCATTTGAAATAAAAGGACACATTCTACTCATGTAAAAACACGCCGATTCCTGGACCGTCCGCAAGCCGGATTTAGTAGGCGATTGGGCCGCATCCGGCCCCTGGGCCTTAGGTTGCCTACCCCTGATATAGACATATTTTCAAGACGAGAGCAAGAGTATCAAGAGATATGGAGGACAATCCTAGTTGTGTTTTCCAATGTATTTCTAACCGGTGAAAAATTTGGTGTGGTGCGAGCAAATTTTTATGGCCCAGAGAACGAAGTTTGAGAACCACTGGTGTACCATACTGAAGATGACTTCTCAGCCCAAGCCTTCCTGATGATTTTACCCAGCAGTTTCCAATTGCATGGGTGGCAAAAAATTGAACCTTGTGGCACAGCATAAACTCTCCTTCCATCACTACCCCCTGAGAACCGCCAAGGAAGAGCCAGGATCAGTTCAGCTCCCTCCCAGTCCCATTCCTTCCCAGCGGGTTCTCTAAATCAGTCCAAGCAAAATCTTTCAGTCACTTGAATCATCCATGCCGATAGATTTCAGAAATATTACTTGAAAACTATGTTTAATACCTGAAGCTGTATGGCCTTTTTGACAAAAATTATGGACAGTACTGTTGGGGACGCAGATGGCGTTGTGGGTTAAACCACAGAGCCTAGGGCTTGCCGATCAGAAGGTCGGCGGTTCGAATCCACGCGGCGGGGTGAGCTCCCGTTGCTCGGTCCCTGCTCCTGCCAACCTAGCAGCTTGAAAGCACGTCAAAGTGCAAGTAGATAAATAGGTACCGCTCTGGCGGGAAGGTAAATGGCGTTTCCGTGCGCTGCTCTGGTTTGCCAGAAGCGGCTTAGTCATGCTGGCCACATGACCCGGAAGCTGTACGCCGGCTCCCTCGGCCAATAAAGCGAGATGAGCGCCGCAACCCCAGAGTCGGTCACAACTGGACCTAATGGTCAGGGGTCCCTTTACCTTTACTTATGGACATTACTGAGCTGAGGACAAACTTCCGCAAAAACCCCATCACCCAGTTTGATGCTATTAATTCTAGAGCTGCTCATGTTCTGAGGCTCACCGTTTCTGTGACCTGAAGAATGGGAGCGTCTGCTCCTCTGAGACAGTCCAGCTTATAAAAATAATTTAACAAAAAATAATTTTCAGGGATGTGTGGATTAGCATTCTAAAATGTTTTATTAAATATGTGAAGTAACTGCCTTTTTTCAGTGCAAATGTCAGTTGATTGTGCTCATGTGGGAAAAGATTTGGTTAAATATAGATCTATAAAAGCCCTCCCATTTTTTTGTTTCCTCTGATAAATCGTACTGCGTAAATGCACTTAGCAATTAGCAGAAGCCCAGTTATAGAAACTGTTATTTTTTCTACCTTTTCAGCTGTGGAGAGTTGGGTTAGAGAAAGCAGGCATGACTGAAAAACACACTACTGTCTTTAAGTTGCAGCTGTTTTAATCGCCCTTTTGATTAACGCTGAGGCAAAAACTGATTTCTAAACCCAAGGCTTTGTTTCTTGCAAGCTGCAAACTGGTGTGAGTTAACCCAGGCATACATTAAGTGACCAACTGCGCCAGTGGCTTCCTAATTTCCAGCTCTGCTCTCTATGATAATCAGTAAAATACCACGGGAAGCAAGGGAGGTTTTTTAATCGGCCGTGACAGCCAGCCCATGGCTTTTAGCAAGCATCAATTTCCTTAAAGCGCAACCTCCGATACAGGCCATCTAGTTAACATGAATTGCCAGTGATCAACTTTATTCCAAGTCCATCTATCTTAACAATAAATCTCACCACCTTCTTTTCTGCTTTGCTGGCACCGCAAGCCAGACAGAGCCCACCCGGCAAGGACCTGCCCATCAGAAAGAATAACCTCCCGGACTTCATTGTGTTGGTATAATCAGTTGACAGATATGAGATGCGTTTGCCAAGTGCCCGGGGCTGCTAACTTAGAACAGAGAGGCGCATGTTGCTTGCGTCCGAAGCAGCGTCTCCTCAGCAAGTTCCTACAGAGACGGGCAGTGTGAAGTATTTCTAAACCAGAGGCCTCGCAGTTGAGGGCACAGAAACTGAAAAATTCGGAGACGGGCATCCATTCAGTTGTTGTTGCTGTTTAGTCGTTTAGTCGTGTCCGACTCTTCGTGACCCCATGGACCAGAGCACGCCAGGCACTTCTGTCTTCCACTGCCTCCCAAAGTTTGGTCAAACTCATGTTTGTAGCTTCGAGAACGCTGTCCAACCATCTCGCCCTGTCGTCCCCTTCTCCTTGTGCCCTCCATCTTTCCCAACATCAGGGTCTTTTCCAGGGAGTCTTATCTTCTCATGAGGTGGCCAAAGTATTGGAGCCTCAGCTTCACGATCTGTCCTTCCAGTGAGCACTCAGGGCTGATTTCCTTCAGAATGGATCGGTTTGATCTTCTTGCAGTCCATGGGACTCTCAAGAGTCTCCTCCAGCACCAGAATTCAAATGCATCAATTATTCGGCGATCAGCCTTCTTTATGGTCCAGTTCTCACTTCCATACATCACTACTGGGAAAACCATAGCTTTAACTATACGGACCTTTGTTGGCAAGGTATCCATTCAGTAAGCCGCTCTAAATGTTACTGCTGCAAAGTGGCATTCCTGAGATCGAGAAGTCAAATCTTTACAGACAAGCCCTGTCTTTTTCAGATATATTTTTTTTATGTGACGGGCCTCGTGTGGCCACCCTAGTTCCATTTTGACTGGAAACGCTTCCGGTTATTGTTTTTTTTGTTTTGTTTTTATTTATTCATATCTCGCCTTTTCTCCAGAACCAGGCATCTCACAGATATTTAAAATTCAGGTAGGTAGCCGTGTTGGTCTGACGCAGTAGAAATATATATAAAAATAAAAAAATTGTCCAGTACACTGGTACCTCGGGTAAAGTATTTAATTCGTTCCGGAGGTCCGTACTTAACCTGAAACTGTTCTTAACCTGAAGCACCACTTTAGCTAATGGGGCCGCCCACTGCTGCCGCGCCGCCAGAGCACAATTTCTGTTCTCATCCTGAAGCAAAGTTCTTAACCTGAAGCAATATTTCTGGGTTAGCAGAGCCTGTAACCTGAAGCATATGTAACCTGAAGCATATGTAATCTGAGGTACCACTGTAGCACCTTAGAGACCAACTACAGTCGTACCTCAGGTTGCGAACGTGATCCATGCGGGAGGCACGCTCGCAACTGCAGTATTCGCAGCCTGAAGCACCACGTCTGCACACTCGCGTGACATGATTTGGTATTTCTGCACATGCGCGAGCGCCAAAACCCGGAAGTAACCCGTTCTGGTACTCCTGAAAACGCGCAACCCGCAATGTTCGTAACCCGAGGTATGACTGTAAGTTTGTTCTTGGTATGAGCTTTCATGTGCACAAAAGCTCATACCAAGAACAAACTTAGTTGGTCTCTAAGGTGCTACTGGACAATTTTTTTATTTTTTAAGATATTTTAAAAATACAGATAAAACCACACATAGCTTTTAAAAAGCATGTAATTATTGTTGCTGTTAAAAAGCAATTAAACTGTCAAAGGAATTAAGGTAATGTACTACTAAAATTGGATGCGGGTGGCGCTGTGGTTTAAACCACTGAGCCTCTTGGGCTTGTCGATCGGAAGGTCGGCGGTTTGAATCCCCACAACGGGGTGAGCTCCCATTGCTCGGTCCCTGCTCCTGCCAACCTAGCAGTTCGAAAGCACGCCAAAAAGTGCAAGTAGATAAAAAGGTACCACTCTGGCGGGAAGGTAAATGGCATTTCCGTGCGCTGCTCTGATTTTGCCGGAAGCGGCTTAGTCATGCTGGCCACATGACCCGGAAAAACTGTCTGCGGACAAACGTCGGCTCCCTTGGCCTGTAAAGTGAGATGAGTGCCGCAACCCCAGAGTCATTCGTGACTGGACTTAACTGTCCAGTCCAGTTTACTACTAAAATTATGATTAGTTATGGGATTTGTATAACGCATTTTTATAATAATAAGAATTGTGGATAATACATAGTAATCAATCATCATCCTATACTGAAATGCAGACTGTTAAGTTGTGGGTGAACATATCAGACGACACAGCAATTCTTCAAACAGCTCTTGTTTATTCACAGGCCAGAACAGAACTGAACTGAAGGGTTCAGCCAGCCTGCTTATATAGAGCTCCACTAGAACGCAACAGTAACCATTTTCTGTAACTATCCAATCACTGAACGTCACTTTCGATCCCTTATTTGCATATGTGGACCTGAACTATCTACAGTATCCCCCTGCTGGCCCAGGGTGAGAACTTCAGTACATAACACAGACACTAAACCAAAAACAAAGGAACGGCACACTATTATCCCTTCCCTTAAAAGCAATCAGTTCCCCACAGAGTTAAAATAACTATTCATCTGTCAGTGGAAGGACAATGAAGAAGCCAGTCTAGCTTCTCTAGGAAGCGAGATCCAAAACCTGGGAGCAGCCATCACTAAGAAGGCCCTGTTGCGCATCCCTAGCAAGATGTGCCTTTGAAGGTGGCAGGCTTCATGTCTTCGCTGTGATTCTTATTTTGGCTTCGGGCAACGTGTCAAATATGGAGGGCAGTTTCTGTTGAGCTTAGTGACAGTGACTTCCTGTTTAGAAGCTTAGTGCCTCTGCCAGTTATGCTACCCAAGTCTCTTTTCAATAGTCCACCTTGGCCGAATTTTCCCTTTGCTAAGCAAAGCCAGCCCTGGCTGCTTTTACAGAAGAAAGAAGTCGAGAACAGAATATGGTGAACCAGCGCAGGATAAAGCGCCATTGCTGTCTTAAGGGTTTTTCATATGGTGGCTTTAAAATTAACTTATCCCTGCTGGGATTTGCCATTCTTGTAAAAAGAATGACAGCGCTGGCTTACATTTACATTGTGCAACTAGGAGCACATTTCTGTGCATGGCTATTCTGAAATAAGTTCAATTGGGCTTGCTCTCATATAAGTACAGGCCCCCAAACCCCTTAACTGTTCTGGTGAATGCAGGCTGGCATCAAAATTAAAAGAATTATTAATTATTTGTTGCTATCTTTCACCCTTGTAGTAATACAAGGCTGAAATTCATCTTGATTTCTTGAAGTCTCATCTCCTTTGAGCACCACAGTACAAAACGAGACGAGACTCCTGCGATATTTTGCAAGGAAATGTCACACTAGATCTGTTGATGACCGGGCCGGTTTTGTGTCAGACGTTCCAGTCCAGCTTTATTTTCCAAGACAAACGTAGCACTTGGCCTTTAAATTACCCATCTGTCCGACAAATCAAGTGGTGTGGCAGGAACTGGCAATAGTTTGACGTTGCCCATCAGTTTAATTGAAGTGAAAGTAATGCAAAGTGATCATCCTACAGGATTCGCTTTGATTATGGACTGTGAATATATTTGGTGCAGCGAAGGAGGCAGAAAGCAAAAGCTAGCGTCAGGCAGCAGTGCTTCTAAGCTTTGAAATAATAATAATCCAGGCATTAGCAAAGATTAAGAAGCATCTTGTTAATCACAGAGCAATCGGTAACACGACTGATGTGTCTTTGTCTCTGCCTTTTAAAATGGAATCCCTCACACACACCCCTCTCTTACACATGTGCTGTAACCCGGTACGATCCATTCCATTAGAGCAGGCATAGGCAAACTCGGCTCTCCAGATGTTTTGGGACTACAATTCCCATCATCCCTGACCACTAGTCCTGTTAGCTAGGGATCATGGGAATTTTAGTCCCAAAACATCTGGAGGGCCGAGTTTGCCTAGGCAAAACAGTTGGAGTATTATTTCATTGTGGAGTTAAGAGTTTTAAGTAAAAATGAAATGGGTGTGATTCCGCCCCACTCCATCCCATGTAGCATTAACCGAGTTAATTCTCAAAAGTAAAAAGTGCTCCTGTTTTGAGGTCAGGTGGCTGAGACAGAATGGCCGCTTGGTGGATTTCAGATTACCATACACCACAAGCCTGCAGACCCAGAAAACATCAGGCGTACCTGGAGCCCGGATACCACACTAGCCTCTGGGGTTATTTTGACTTGTGGGAGCAGTTTCAACAGCTACCAGCCAAGAGCCACAGGTTCATAGCAGCATGTTTCTGCCTGAAAGCCACCGCAGCTGCTCAGCCATTCAGAAGTAATGGACTATGTAAAACACAGGCTTCATAGTTACTTAGGGTTTGCCAGGGTTTGGCAGATGACTTGTGGATCCTACCCTGTATGTTGGCAACGGCATATCTGCCATAAAGGCCTCGCGGTGCCAAATTAACAGGTCTATGAGACATGAGCCTAATCTTTTGATTAGGCTGTTAGTTGCGGATGTGGCTCCCCCTGGATTCATATATCCCAAGGAAAGGGGCAAGTAGTTAGCACTGTGTGTTGGTAGTGCTGTATTGATGATTAACCAATTAATTGATTACAGTGGTACCTTAGTTCTCAGACGCCTTAGTACTCAAACAACTTGGAACCCAAACACTGCAAACCCAGAAGTAAGTGTTCCGGTTTTCGAACATTTTTTGGAAGCTGAACGTGCTCTGATTTGAGTGCCACACTTCCGTTTTGAGTGTTACGCTGAGGTCTGTCTGTTTTTGCTATTTATTCTTTATTTATTTTTGCTCTTTTGTTTTTGTGACTGTGACTGTGTGAAACCCAGTTCAGCTACTGATTGATTGATTGATTGATTGATTGTGTGACTTCAATACATTGTATATTGCTTTCATTTTGTGGATCAGTGGTCTCATTAGATAGTAAAATCCATGTTAAACTGCTGTTTTAGGGGTTGTTTTTAAAAGTCTGGAACAGATCAATCCATTTTGCATTACTTTCTGTGGGAAAACACGCCTTGGCTTTGGAACGCTTTGGTTTTGGAACCGGCTTCCAGAACGGATTAAGGTTGAAAACCAAGGTATTACTAAAAAATAGCAGAAAGAATGATGTCAGTACTTGGAAAGAATAACCTTCCCTTTGTTTGCCTCTACAGGGACGATGCATAAATTTCACCAGAGTGAAATCAGATGGGACAGTCATCTCGTACAGCGCACCTCAGCAGCCAAGAGAACACCACACCCTCAACAATGCTCCAAGAAGCCCATCTTCTCCAGCGCCAATGCAACCCCCTCCCTGCAGGCAACTTCCTCCTGCGCCTCCCCCTTCGAGATGTCCACCAGGGCCCCCGCCATCGCGTCCTCCGCCTCAGCTTCTGGCTTGAAGCGTGGGGAACCGAGATGGGAGCAGAGCATCTCCAGTCTTCGTTTATAATCAAGAGTTTGTTGCTGGTCAGCAAAAAAGCAGAACAAAATGCCAGGCGTCCTTTTGTACTGTCGAGTATATTTATGCCACACGTGCCATATAAACATTCAATGATTGAATCTTGGGAACTGCTGGGTATTTGACAAAAGAACAATATCCAGGCAGCGAGTGATAATAGATTATGCATTAATGGTTCACACACACATACCCTCGTTATGTTTTATAAGTCGTTAGCCAGATGGAAATAGCCTGCGCTGATGAATGGGGTTAGGTTTCCCCGCAAATAATTTTGCCATCCATAATAGTAATGCTAGGAAGGGTCCGATTAAGTGGAAGCTAAATTCTGTAAATTTCCCCCTCCCCCCCCATTGTCTCAGGTTCTTTCAATGCCGCTGGGAAGGTCCTGCTAATTTTAAGCCGACTAAAGTAACGACTTCATATTGCGGCGGTGTCTTAAACATTTGCTCATTTTGGATTCAGGAAGCTTCCCAAGTCTCCCATTTCTTTGCACCTCACAGTTGATGGGGCAGCAACTACCAGGCAGCAACTCTTGCAGGGTACGAGGGGGGGTCATTTTGCACATAAACCAACTTCTGTTGGACTTCCGCTGTATTATGCATTGCATCCTTTGCCGATGGGCGCCAGTCTTCTGATAAATTCAGCTGGGCGTCTCCTTTCCAATATAGTATCGTTCCTGTTTTTTATTCACTGATAAAACTGTTCTGCTTCCATACATAGAAAAAAAAGATAGATGTGGAAGAGATGGTACACCTTCTACTTTACTGCTGGACAGTCAAAATAACTTATTAAATAGTGCTGCAGGCAAATGTGCGTCAAAGGCGCCACACAATTATCAGTTCAGGTGCGATCATGCTGCATGTGCTGTTATCAAATGACTCTCCAGCTTTGAGCTGGGCTAGGGGGGGAAACATTGGTACTTTTTCTGCGTTTTTAAGAGCTTCATCCAATTGCATCATGCAAATCTATGCAAAGTATTAATAGCACCAAGAGGGCCAGGGATTTGTGCACGCGCAACAAAACTGTAAAAGATACAGCGATAACAAAATAAATTAAAAGAGGAGGATTATACAGATGGCCTTTTTTAAAAAAGGCATACACGTTGCAGTTGTGGGCTGGTGAGGGGGTTTGAGAAAGTAAAAAGACGGCGTTTGGCTGTGTAGCGTCTTGAGAATTTAAATAGGGTATGTATCAGAGCAGGTCATTGAATGCTGTCCACTGGTCCATCTTGTAAACAACTTTCTGTAAGTAACGAAGTGCTTCCAATGTTATACTTGTGTAAGATTTGTGCATTGTGCACATCTCGTTAGCAACATCTGCAAGGGTAAGTATGTGGCGATGAAAGCTATGTAGCAAAAAATATTTCATAATCCAAACTTTTATGTAGTTCTCATGGATTTTAAAATAGCAATAAAACTGCTAAATTAGCTACAGATTGTCTTGGTGAATTAAGAAAAAGATAATTCTGACTTTCTACCTGCGTTCCTATTGTTGTTACTGAGTTTGTTTACTGGGGGGGTTGGGATTTGTAAGATCAATAAGGGGAAGAGTTGGCTGTCCTGGCCACCTTGCCCTGTTCCTTAATTCACATTTGTTTATTTCCTTAATGCTTTTTCCAGGCTTCTTCAGCCACTGCTTCTCTCTCGCTCGGTGTCTTGAACAAAACAATGCAGAGTTTGCAATGTGCACACAAATTCCTAACATGCACACAAAACCAGCAATTACAGATGGTGGAGGAAGTGACCTTGGAACCAACTGAGCTTAAAAATAGCCCTGGACTGAGGTCTTGCCAAAACCTCTCTCTCTCGCTCTCTTTCTCATTGCTGAGTCAAACTATCCCTCTCCAAGTCTCTGTCGTTCCTGCAGCCACAAAAATTGATACTGAACAAACCAAGAATTATTTCCTTTCCTTTCACACCAACGGTTTGTGGCAGGTCGGACTGTCTACTGTCAGTAACCAAGAGGGAGGCCCAGGCACTCGAGAGCTAGAACACTTTTTCTTTCTTTCTTTCTTTCTTTCTTTCTTTCTTTCTTTCTTTCTTTCTTTCTTTCTCTTTCTCACTTTCTCTCTTTCTCTCTCTCTCTCTCACACACACAAAGAGAGAGGGGGGGAGGAAATTAGACACAGTATTCCAGATATGGTCTGACCAAGGCAGAATAGAGTGGGACTATTGATCTGGACAGGGACGTGGGTGGCGCTGTGGGTTAAACCATAGAGACTAGGACTTGCCAATCAGAAGGTCGGCGGTTCGAATCCCCGCGACGGGGTGAGCTACCGTTGCTCGGTCCCTGCTCCTGCCCACCTAGCAGTTCGAAAGCACATCAAAGTGCAAGTAGATAAATAGGTACCACTCCAGCGGGAAGGTAAACGGCAGTTCCATGTGCTGCTCTGGTTCGCCAGAAGCGGCTTAGTCATGCTGGCCGCATGACCCAGAAGCTGTACGCCGGCTCACTTGGCCAGTAAAGCAAGATGAACGCCGCAACCCCAGAGTCGGCCACGACTGGACCTAATGGTCAGGGGTCCCTTTACCCTTTACCTATTGATCTGGACGCTATACTTCTGTTGACGCTATTTTTTGCTGCTGCATCGCACTGTTGACTCACGTTAAGCTTGTGGTCCACCAAGACCCCTAGATCCTTTTCACACGTACTGCTAGTGAGCCAGGTATCCCCCATCTTGTATTTGTGCAGCCGGTTATTCCTGCAAAAGTGCACAACCTGACACTTGTCCCTACTGAAATTCCTTTGGTTAGTTTGGGCCCAGTAATCCAATCTGTGGAAGGTCATTTTGAATCCTGGTTCTGTCTGTTGCGGCATCAACTACTCCTCCCAGTTTGGTATCAACTGCAAATTGGATGAGCATCCCCTCAATTCCTTCGTCCAAGTCGTTCATAAAGATGCTGAACAATCCAATACCTGGTTTAGTTTATTAGTTTGTGTTATACACTTTTCAGTCTGGCGTGCACCCCTAAAAAAAAACAGGCCTCAAAACACAGTACAGTGGACACTCGGGTTGCAAACGTGATCGGTGCGGGATGCACGTTCGCAACCCACATCTGTGCACACACAGGTTGCAATTCAGCGCTTCTGCGCATGCACAAAGCACGATTTAGTGCTTCTGCACATGCACGATCGCCGAAACCCAAAAGCAACCTGTTCCGGTACTTCCGGGTTTCGGCAGTCTGCAACCCGAGAAAATGCAACCTGAAGCGGCTGTAACCCGAGGTATGACTGTACAGTGGTACCTCGGGATGCAAACGGGATCCATTCCGGAGCCCCATTCGCATCCTGAACAGAAAGTAAAATGCAACGGCGTGTGCGCAGGTTGCGTTTTCCGCTTCTGCGCATGTGTGTGATGTCATTTTGAGTGTGCGCATGCGCGAGCGACAAAACCCAGAAGTAATGTGCTCCGTTACTTCTGGGTTGCCGCGGAGCGCAACCCGAAAGCGCTCAACCTGAAGCGCATTCAACCTGAGGTATGACTGTATAGTACAGTGGTACCTCGGGTTAAGTACTTAATTCGTTCCAGAGGTCCGTACTTAACCTGAAACTGTTATTAACCTGAAGCACCACTTTAGCTAATGGGGCCTCCTGCTGCTGCCGCACCACCGGAACACGATTTCTGTTCTTATCCTGAAGCAAAGTTCTTAACCTGAAGCACTATTTCTAGGTTAGCAGAGTGTGTAACCTGAAGCGTATGTAACCTGAAGTGTATGTAACCCGAGGTACCACTGTAATTCCATTTTTTCTCAAGGAACACTTTTGCCTTTTGGCCACTAGGTGGCAACCACACCAGCGTATCTTACAGTAAGGACCACAAAGCCAACATGATACGAGATGCTATAATTAAAAGAGGAATGCACACTTGAGCTTCTAATAAATCGAGATGAAACCAAAGGAATGGAAAAAGGAGCTCGCAGAAGTGACTCCGGCAGCTGATGACTCCATATTGGGGTTGACAGGTGAAGAACTTCTGAGATGGATAAGAAATCTCATTAGCAATGGCTAGCAAAGTGCAGCTCCACAGTACCTCACACTTCGTTAACGCTGAACTAAATGCTATTCCCGGTCTGAGCAAAATAAGGCAAAAGCCAACTGCGTAAGATGTGAAGTGCTTTGAACTGGACTTCCTGGCATAGCTGTCAACCTTATTTGGCGGGAAACTCCCTTATCCCAGCGCCGTGTCCCGCTGCTGTCCCTTATTGATGATGTCATTTCCCAGGTTTCAAAGGAAGCAGCTCCTCTCCCTCCCTCCCTGCCGGCCAGGGAGGAGGGAGGCTCCAACTGTGTTGCTTGGCTGCGTTGCTCACCCAATAAGGAGTCTAAGAACGACAGGCAGGTGGAGCTTGCATGCCTTGTGCCGATCAAATCGGCCGCGTTGCCTGGGGACTCGCCTTTGCTCAGCGCTTCCCAGCGGAGAGGTGACGGTGGTTTCCTTGCTGCATCCCCTTTGCCGGGTTGCTGCGCTGTGGGAACCACCGCTTGAGGCTTTGTTTGGCTGCTGGCTGGGCTTTCTGCCTTTGGCTCGGAGGGGCTCAGAAGCTGAACATACCTGTGACCAGAAAATCCCTTATTTTGGCTGCTGATCCCTTATTTTTGAGGCTGTTGGTCCCTTATTTTCAAATCTGTAAGTTGACAGCTATGCTTCCTGGTCTAGGCGTGTGCGCGAATAAAGGCGCATGCAGAAATGTTACAATAGGGCCTGACTGCTTCACTGTCATGGCTGCTGAAGACGGAGATGAGCCAACGAAGAAGTAGCCCTTATGCCACCAAAATGTTAAGATTTACCAAGGCCAGATTTAGGTTTGATGAGGCCCTAAGCTACTGAAGGGAATGGGGCCCTTTATATGTCCAGCTGTCCTTCGTCAGCAACAAATTGCTGCTGTTTTTTTGTGTTGAATATATACTATATATGCTAATTTATGGACCTAGGGCGGGACGCGGGTGGCGCTGTGGTCTAAACCACAGACCCTAGGCCTTGCCAATTGGAAGGTCGGCGGTTCGAATCCCTGCGACGGGGTGAGCTCCTGTTGCTCGGTCCCTGCTCCCGCTAACCTAGCAGTTCGAAAGCACGTCAAAGTGCAAGGAGATAAATAGGTACCACTCCGGCGGGAAGGTAAACGGCGTTTCCGTGCGCTGCTCTGGTTTTGCCAGAAGAGGCTTAGTCATGCTGGCCACATGACCCAGAAAACTGGCTGCGGACAAACGCTGGCTCCCTTGGCCATTAAAGCAAAATGAGTGCCGCAACCCCAGAGTCGTTTGCGAATGGACTTAACTGTCAGGGGTCCTTTACCTTTACCCTTTAATTTATGGACCTAATAGGTATCTAAAGCCATTTGCGCATGTTGCCATGCAACCAGTTCATGCAGAATGTAAGCACCCTATCTATAGAAATGAGCAAACCAGTGATATTTTAGGGAGCAGGCTAGCAGGCCGGGACCATGACTTACATCATAGGAGCCTACACAACACAAAACACTGTTGCTGTATGTAGGTTTTATTTTATTTGTTTTTTATCTTATATTTTGGAAATGTACATCCAGTTTTCTTCCTTTAAATTTTTTGGGGGCCCCCAAGAGAGTGGGGCCCTAAGCTATAGCTTGTTTAGCTTATACTTAAATCCAGCACTGAGCCTTAGCCCTAACTCCAGTCCCAGCTGGTGTTTCTGTGTGGTCCAGGAGCCTTTAATTCATCATCCTTTGTCTTACACTAGAGTGGAAAAGAACTGATTGGGCAAAATTTTGGGGAGAACAATAATTTGACAAGAGGCAGGGCTTTCAACTCGTGAGGGGAGTCCATACTAGAGAGCCAACACCAATTGCACCTCCCTGTCGGAGTATGTTGTGAATGAGTGCGATCCTGTCCAGCCTCCCAACTTTTCTCCAGTGAAAATAGGGACAGTGTCGGGCTCCATTTACAGTAAAGGAATAAACACCCCAGGCGTTTCCTAAGAAATGGTTGGCTGCTGAAGCTTTGCCATTAAAGAACTTAAAGTGGATTGATGACCTTTTCCTTTCAGAATTATTGGAAGGGCTTCACCGTTTCCTTCATTTGGTGCAGGTGTCACGGGACTAAGTTTTTGCACACACGCACAGCACTTTTAATTGTTCTTTGATATGTGGAAGGGGGGACGCGGGTGGCGCTGTGGGTTAAACCACAGAGCCTAGGACTTGCCGATCAGAAGGTCGGCGGTTCAAATCCCCGCGATGGGATGAGCTCGGTCCCTGCTGCTGCTCCTGCCAACCTAGCAGTTCAAAAGCACGTCAAAGTGCAAGTAGATAAATAGGTACCGCTCCGGCGGGAAGGTAAACTGTGTTTCCGTGCACTGCTCTGGTTCGCCAGAAGCAGCTTAATCATGCTTAGGGATTTCTTGTCCTGTCACAATTTCATCAACAATCTGACGTTCTCCAATTCACTCAAAAATGGTGCCAAACGGTTGCAAATGCTCCCCTGAAAGATTTGGGGGTAGAAACAGAAGGCT